CTTGCTTCCTTGTCCGGTTGCAGAGAGCATCTGGGTGGCATCCGTGGAGCGGGAACCCATAGTGGTCATCTGTTTCATGTATAAGTGAATTCTCCCTGAATAAACCTCACTTAACTTATACCAAGTCCAATGAATCTTAATTCCCACGCTTTACCGTTCCACTGACAATGGCTTTTCCCAGCATTTTTTAATCAGGTGGATCTTGTTTGCAACTTTAGCTCTGCCCAAGATAGCTAGGACAACTTTGAACTTTCTAAAGCCTTGGCAAAGTAGTTTAGCTCCTTCATTTAAAAAAAAAAATACCATCCTTCTGCAGAAGATTCACAATCCACAATGTAGCTGTGGGCTCAGCAGTCTCCAAAGCATCATTGACATAGATATCCCTTCCTTTGGACAGGGAAGCTTGGGAAGCATCTGTTTTGTCTGACTTAGCTGCAAGCTCGTTCCCAGAAGCATCTTTTCCCCTTCCTTCCTCCTCCACATGGAAGTGGCAGTTCTCCAGCCAGATGACAGACCCAGCCACCAGGTTGGCATGGCTTTCTCTATATCTGGCCCACACACTCCAAGAACAGAACATTCTTGCCTAGCAGAGATGTGAGTTCTGTTGCAACTGCTTCTAACAAGTACTCGTCTGCCATGGGAACACCACCAAGTGGCTCATAAGGACAACTGACTTGGCTCCGTGTCCAAGCAGAATTTGATACTTGGAACAGCAATCTTGATCCTCTGGTTATTTGTTATCTGGTAGTTCTTTATAGAACACAGAAATCTACTCCCATAAAGAAGTCTATTCCCATAGTGGCCCACGTCCCCTTCCTATCAGCTCCAGCCAGACTCAGCTGGTTACAAAGCAACATTTTGGCAACACTTGAGGTGGAGAAGCCAGCTGAAGAGACTGAAGCTTGTACCTCTTTGCTGTTTTGAGACAAGGGCCTCACTATATAGCCCAGGCTGACCCCCCAAACTACCATCTTCCTGCCTCAGATTCTAAGAGCAGAGAAATCTGTTTCTAATCCTACAGACCATTGAAAGGCAGAAAACTGTTTTACAGAGCAGCCTAGAGATCTTTCCTATCCAAAAGAACAGGACACTACATTTGTTCACTGGTGTTACAATCAGGTTTTCCCGCTGGCCTTGTCCCAGAGCTGTGCCAGCCCCAAATAACGCACAGAGACACTGTATTAGATATAATGCTGTTGGCCTGTTACTAGTGTTTCTTATTGGCTAGCTGTGTCTTAAATATTAACCCATTTCTATTAATCTAAGTTTTTCCACGTGGTCTTATCTTACCGGAGAGAGGGCCCAGAATTCTACCCTGTTGGTCCTACTTCTTGAAACTCCTCCTACCTCTCTCTGACTCCTTGTCTCCTAGTCCCGCCTATCTTGCTTTCCTATTGGCCAACAGTGCTTTATTCATTAACCAATAAGAGAAACATATTTACTGAATGACATCACCCCATCATCTCTTTTCTGTCTAAAATAAAAGAAGGGTTTTAATCTTAACATAGTAAAATATATAACAAAACAGTTATCAAATAAGAACCACAGTTAACAATATTTAGTCCATTAACATTTAGCAAGATTTAAAAAAAATATTCCATCATCTATCCTACCTTTGTTGAGTCTAAAGTCCTATATGTAACTTATGTAACTTATTTTTTATTTATTGAGACAGGGTTTCTCTGTGTAAGTTTGCCTGTTCTGGAATTAACTCTGTATACCAGGTTTGCTTTGAAATCACAGAGATCTGTTTGCCTCTGCCTCCCGAGTGCTGGAATTAAAGGCATGTGCTGCCACACCCAGCTACTCTCTCTAGCTGGTCAAACACACCATTGAATTGTTAGCAGCACTTCTTAAAAGCCGCTTATGATGAGTCAGGAAACCTCACTTAAAGGAGCCTCACAAGTCTCTGTTTGTCTCTAGAAAAACAGAGCCCAACCAAGAAAAATGTTGCTACCGAGAAGCCTTGCTTGTCTCTGTTCTTTTGTTTTTAAAGCCCCCTTTTTAAGCTTTTGTCGAGTTTTAAGTGCAAGTTCTTAGTAGCCCCACGTTGGGCGCCATTTTGTTACGCTCAGGTTTTCCCGTCGGCCTGGTCCCAGACACTGGGATTACAGAATCACCATAGATAGGTGGATGTCAAAGTGAAGTTCATCTTCATCACGGAAAAAGTGCAAGGCCAGCCTGAGCCACACCAGACGCCATCTCAAAAGCAATAAACAAACGCAGCTTTATTGAGATACCACTGACAAAAACTGTGCATGTTTAAGATGTAGAAAAGTGTCCTGGTGCCAGGTGGTAGTAGTGCACGCCTTTAATCCCAGCACTCAGGAGTTAGAGGCAGGAAACAAAAACCAAAATAAAAATAACTAAAAATAAAAAAATCCCCAAAGACATTCTGGTATGTGTTCACATTTGAAATGATCACTTATAATTCAGTTTTCAAGTCTCAGGATCCGCAGACAGTACATCTAGGTCAAGGTCAGCCTGACACCCTGTTTCTATAAAAAAGAAAAAGAGAGTACACCTAGACTTGATGAGAACCTGGATAAGATTTTGAAGCCTTCCTTGGGGAGGAGCTGTGTGTACTTGTATAGGATAGGAACAGATATTTGTCAGCATGACCACAAAAGCATCACACCACCCCATACCTGTCACCCTTCAGGTAGAGAATGCTGCTCTGGCCCATGCCCACTTGTTAGGCTTGTCCTTATGAACTGATTTTGGCCAATGACATGGACAATTTGCCTTCTGCCGTATCCAAGCAGCAGCTGTGAAATGTACCTCTATGGTATGGTTTGTTTCTTGCTTTTGTCTTTCACTATGAAGCAGTATGTCCTAGGAAAGGACATACATCCAGTCTTATGCCCGAATAGGAATAATTCTAGAGAAAAGTCAATCCAGTAATCTAAGGTGAGCCAAGTGGCTGACCTCAGACCCATGATGATGAAATGAACATTTGTTACATCATTGAGATTTATAGTTCTATATTTATTCTATATCCTTTTCTATCTAACTTGACTTTAAGATTACCTTGTGTTAAAGAATTAAAGGCCAGATTTCCAATTCCAGGTTTTCTTTTTATTAAAGTGTTTGGTGAGGTGAACAATATTATCAACACAAACTTCACTGAAATGTTCACAAATAAAGTCCCTATTTTATAAGTCATCCAAATAGCATGCTACTATGTAGAAATTATAATCATCATTAAATTTGGTTAACCTGAAGCTATACACGAGCTCTAAATTGGGAGCTCCAACCCAGTTATCTTAGCACATGGGGCTAGCTATTGAGAGCAGAAAGCTAGCCACAGCAAGTTACGGGGGGAAATGATATGATTTGAAACTAATTATTCATCCTTTCAAAGTAGTTTCTCCACCTGCATTGAGAATTAGTCTTCTCAAGGGCTATAAATAATAGAATGTGATATATTAAAGCTTAGCTTATGTCTGTGCCTCTGAAAGCATTTGTGTGTGTTTTTAAAAGGCTACTTATTTTTTCCTTACATGACTGAGTATGATACAACTTTAAAATAGACTGATTATTCTCTTTCCTGGAAAATTATCTTTTTACTCAAATATCATTAAAACATGGCAGCATGACTCTAGATTAATAAAATTGCCTGATGCAGTGCTCAGTAAACTGCTTAAAATGGGGAATACTGTCATGGTTTGATAAAGTTTACAAATTATTTGAAGGCATGTATTTCATCTATTACATACTTGCATTTTTTTTGGTCATTTTTCCATAGAATCCTGCTACTCAAAAAAATAGAGGTACTGATTGTTCCTTTGCATATGCTGGGTCTCTATAAGTGAGACTGTGCTTGACAGGGGGAGGGTAAAAGAGCCAGTTTGGACCAGATCTCTAGGAATAAAGTGTCCCTATGCCATCATAAAAAGACTCAGTAGTGTCTGGGCAGTGGGGAGACCTTTAAAATAAAAACATGCAAAGATTAAAAAAAAAAAAAACCCGTAGTTTTGGAAGTGATTTTGTTGTAAAGGGGGAAGTAGAGACATCTTCCATGAAATGTGTTATACTTCTAAGTACAAAACATATTGAAACGTCTAGCAGAAAAAAAAAGTAAAAAGTAATGAACATGGAAGAAAAAATATAAACTGTGATGCTATCACTTTTAATTTAAAAAAATCAGCACAAATGAACACATCAGTAAATAAAACCTCCTATGATCAACTGGTCATTTAAAAGTGAATTGGCTAGCGGTGGTGGCTCATGCTTACAATCCCAGTCTTCAGGAGGTGGAGGCAGGAGGATCATTACAAGTTCAAGGCCAGCCTGTCTACATAGGAAGTTCCAGCCCAGTTAGGGCTACACAATCAGATCCTGTCTCAAACAACATTACTCCTCTCCTCAAATGAAGATTTTGGGTTCTATTAGAGAGTAATTTTCTGCAGTCATTTTAGAACAAATAATTTATGAAAAACATTAAGATAGTTTTAGAGAAGGCCACATTATTTCACATTACAGGTGGTTCTCCCCAAATGGTAAAGTATTCAACACACTATACCGAATACACAGGAAATACTTTTTACACTGAACACAGATCTCTTACAGACCTATACATTTTTCTATAACATGCAATGTTTAGAAACAATCATCCTTTATAAAGGGGCAGTGCTCTCAGATCATATAGTGAATGGTTATTTTATAGAGGTAAGTGTCAAAACCTTAGATGTGAGATACAGTCTAAATGTTAAGTCTCAGGCATTTAGAGTGAGCAAGAAAATTCCCTCATTTTGTGGCCTGTGCCTATCTCATTGCTTGAGATGAATGTCATGGCTCAAGTGCCATAACAACTTTCTTTTCACTATTGTGGTAACAAAGGCTAGCCTGGTTCTAGGCAAGATTAAACCAGGCTCCATCAAGTACTGATCCATCAAGAGATTTCAAGGCCAGCTAGGTTCCTAGCTGAGCCCAGAGCGAGCTGGCCCATGTGCTTTGACTCAGGCCCCTAGCTTTGCACTGCCTTCAGGCCTAATGGCACCCAGAATAGCCATGAACTATGTTAGATGCTGGGTTGGAACTCCCGTTGACACACACTCTGGAGCTGGATAGCAAAGGGGCAGGACGGGCAGAGCACATTGATTGGAGCCGACCTCCATCTGTCAGATGCTTTGTGACAAGAGCTTAGTGACTCTGGAGCAGCTCCTCCCAACAGATGGGCTGTGAAAACACCTCTCTCTCCAACCAGAGCTCATAGGAATAATAGAAATCTTCAGGCAGATCCAACCTCTGCCCCAGCACACTCTGCAAGCAGTTATCCACAGGTGAAAATTCGGAGTCCTGCGGTTTATCATACCGGCGGCTGTTAAAAGCCTCAATGTTGGCCCTCAGGGTACATTCTTCAGCTTGGAAGTCCCATGGCCTGGCATCGATGTCTGACATAGGAAGAGAGGGGGGAGAAGATATGTCCTGATGTTACTCTCTTCCACAGAGCACGCTCTGTGGCATCCTAACAATGAAACTGCTCAGAATGTTAAGAGCAATGTATGAAGCAAACATATAGCATGTTTACAGGTTTAAAAAGTATACGCATGATCATATATAAACTAATATACACAGAAATTGTATTTGAAATGTAGAAACTGGTAACAGTAGTTACTGTTGAGGAAGGAGATGGGAGACCTTTTTATTGTAATTCCTTATTTTTTGTTTTTGAGACAGTTTCTCTGTGTAGCTTTGGAGTCTGTCCTGGAACTCACTCTGTAAACCAGGCTGGCCTCAAACTCAGAGATCTGCTTGCCTCTGTCTCCTGGGCTTTGTTTCTTTCTAGTAATCATGTTATTCAAAAGAGCAAGTAAAGCCTTTTATTGAGCTTTCCCTAGGGCATAAAAATTTCCCATTTGAATAGAATCACCCCTCAAGGAAGGGAGATTGGAGTAGAACACAAGGAATCATGTCTGGACCACCTCAACTGGGCATGGTGGCATATGTCAAGGCTACATAGTGAACCTTGTCTCAAACAAACAAACTGCTATAAGTAGGCAAACATTTTACCATATCACAAAATTAGTATCATATTTTGGGGCTGGGGAGATGGCATGAGGACCTGAGTTTGGATCCCTAGCACCTACAGAAAAGCCAGGTGCCACAGTATGCATTTATAACCACAGTGCTGCAGGAGCAGAGACAGTGGCCAGCCAGCCCAGCCAAATTAGTGGGCCCAAGTTTACAAAGAATACTCACCATTCCCATAAGCCCAGTCATCATTCATGCGGTGGCGCACTTTCTGGTAAATGGCTGACATAGTCTTCATATTGCTTTTCCTCCATTGGCGCCCAAGGTACTTGGTCTGTATCTTTAGTAGCTTCAAGACATAAAGTTGTAGCATGGCCTGTTTGACTTTGAGGGCTCGCTTTAAGATTGGAGCTGATTTAAACACCACCAGCATCTGTCCAGTGATACAGAGACAGGGTGACAAAAAGTTCATCATCATGTGAAGGTTTTAGAATTTCCAACTCAGACAATATGGACAACCCTGGTTATCCTATGAGACCCTGAGTATCTAAGGTCCAAACTACTTAAGAGTTAGTCTTCAAGAATACAAAAGAACTAAAAGGAGTTTGAGGTTAGCCTGGGGTAGTGAAACACTGTGTAAAATACACACACACACACACACACACACACACACACACACACACACACACACGAATTAAGCCAGACATGGTGGCTTAACTCATTTGAAGTTTATAATATTCAGGAGAGGTGTCTCAGCACTTAAGGATACTTGTTACTCTTCTAGAGGACCTGAGTTCAATCCCCAGCACCCTCATGGTAGTTCCCAACCATCTGTAACTCCAGCTCCAGGGGATCCAATGCTCTCCTTTGTCTGACCTCTGTGGGAACCAGGCACAAAGTGGTACACATACATACATGAAGGAAAAAACACATAAAATGAAGAAATCTAATTTAAAAATTTTAAAGTTTATACTATTTATAAATTCAAAATAAAAGTTATCTACCAAAAATGCCATTTTCACTGTTATTAGTTTCTTGTCTTGGTTTTTCAAGACAGGGTTTCTCTGTGCAGGCCTGGTTGTGCTGGAACTTGCTCTGTAGACCAGGCTGGCCTTGAATTCAAAGATCCATCTGTGTCTGCGTCTTGAGTGCTGGGATTAAAGGTGTGTGCCACCACCACCCAGCCTTTTGTTATTTTTTTAAGATTTAAAAATATTTAGTTAAATTTTATCCCATGCCCATGCGTTTTTACACATGTATGCAAACACTTCATAGCACTCACATAGAGGTCAGTGGGCAATTTCCAGTTCTGTCCTTCTACTGTGGATCCCCAGACTCAAACTCAAGTCTCCAGGCATGCGTAGCGAGCACTCTTTGCCAGCAGAGCCATCTCAGTAGCCCTGGAGGTAAGTTTGACTATAGCTATGTCTCGTATGTATTATTTTGTATCTGAACAGAGGTAATAGCCAATAGTACACTGTTCTATTACTTTTTTAAAAATTGTGTGTGTATGTGTATTGGAGTTCGTGTATCCTTGGGGACAGGGTTAGGAGCTGGAGTTACGAGCAGAGGTGAACTGCTTGACATAGAAACCACAGGGTCCTTTGCAAGAACAGTACATTGACTACCGAGCCATCTCTCTAACCCCATATCCCACAGGATCTCTTTATATAGGTCAGGCTTGCCTTGAAATTACAGAAATCCTCCTTGCCTCTTCCTCCTGAGTGCCAGAATTAAAGGCCTCTTTTAATTTAATAATATATCTTGAAAATTATTCCATACCAGCAGAGAAATGCCTCATTCTTTTAAATGGTTTTATCATATTCTACTATAAGGACACACCATAATTTATTTAAGCAGGTGGTCCTTGTTAAAGAAGACCAAACTGTTTCTAGACTCTTTTTATGAGCAACATTGCAATGAATGTTAGCTTTGCATCATTTTTGGATGTGTAACTATAATCCAAATGTGACTGGCTTCCCTTGTTAGAGCTGTCTTAAGAGTGTGTCTATATTTAGTTTCCTGAAAAGAAATGGACTGGTGAGTAATCATCTTGGAATAAGTGCCCAGAATTTAGAAGTGCGGGAACTTATGTAGCATTCACCAGCTATCTATCTTTCCAAGTAGACAATCTACAAATAATAATGACTTAAAAATTCAGTTGAATGGATACTTCTGTGACCTAAAGTCCCGCTTACCATGGTCCTGGAATGCTTCCATTTGGTCAGTTTATTGAGCAGCCTCAGGAGGTTGATGCAGGAAAAGAGGTTCCTCCAGCAGAATTGGCTATTGTCTCCAGCTTCCTGAAATAGGGACATCCATCAGTGTCTCAATACTGACAAGGCTCTCATTCTCCTAGAAGACTGCATGTCCCTGTTGGTCAGTTTAGGCGAATATTCCAGTATGAAATGGTGCCTCTTTACTTCCTGCCCTTTACACACCAAATCTCATTTCTGTGGGCAACCTATAGCTGGGCTGGCCATGTGCCTCAGTAATAGGGTACTTGCATAGCATGTGCAGAGCTGTGTGTCTGAATTTCAGACAAACAAAAAAACAAAAATAAACAAAACAACTAAAACCTGTGAGCCACCATGTGGGTGCTGGGAATTGAACTATCCTCTGGAAGAGCAGCCAGGGCTTTTAATTGCTGAGCCATCTCTCCAGCCCTGAGTTTCTCTGCTTCAAAGCAGAACATCTGGCTGATTTGATAATCAAACAGAGCCTTTAAAGAGGGCTGCTAGATATGAAATCTAATACATTTGAAACCCTGCCACAGCTTACTGAAGTGCATCAGTAATGATCCTCACTTTCAGATTATACTAAGAAGCCAACATTATCACTAATTTAATGTTCTGCATGAATGTAGAGATTTATAGCCCTAGGCAAGTCTAGTACTCATCAATGACACTTCTACTGATGAGTTTCTCCAGCCTATAGGAAACCTGCTCAAGATCTAGGTCCACAAGGCAGAACAGGTCTGTCACCCTATTTCTACCCTTTTGCTTTGTGCTTTTCCCCCATCCCACACTTACTGAAACAGTTTTTTCCCTTCAACTAGGTCTGAATTCTTAATGACTGCAAATTAAAAATTATGTTTTGGTGAACGATTCTTCATCCTTTTCTTTATTATGGCTCACACAACTGAAAATGAAGCCACATTTTAGATTTTCTTTTTCCATATGACTAAAGGATAATTCCCTTACCATGCAGGTTTCCAACCAGTTGCTGCTAGATAAAGGGCCTAGATATAGAGGAGAAATGGTTCTTAAGTGGAGCCAGTAGATAAAGAAGCTTTCAAGACCACCCATCTAGGGTGTGTTAGCAAACTACATTCGACTCAGTTACATCTGAAGAACCCATTATAGAACTTGTGGCCAAAAGGAAAAATTATAAAATGCGTACAAAGGTTTTATTTATGGGCCTTCCTCTGTATAAATATTTCATGGGAAATGGACATAAATGTTATGTCCACGTTATATATACATGCTAAGGAAGCCACACTAAAGGTACTGTTGCTTTGAAATAGTGATGATGAAAATCAGAACAGAATTTTACTTATTTTGTCCATGTTGGCCTCAAGCATGTAGCAATTCTCCTGCCTCTGCCTACTGAATGCTGGGATTATGGATGTGTACCACCATGACTGATAAGAAAAAAAAAAAACTTTGACATTTTTTTACATTTATTTATTTATTTAATAGGAGTGTAGGTGTGTGTGTGTGTGTGTGTGTGTGTGTGTGTGTGTGTCCGCATGTGCAAGTGTGCATGTCAGAGCACAACCTGAGGAAATAGTTCTTATCTTCTCTTATGTGGGTTCTGGGATTTGAACTCAAGTTGTCAGGCTTGATAGCAAATGCCCTTACTTTCTGAACATCTCGATGCCCCCCCCAAGCCTTTCTTTTAAACGGTTATAACTGGCTAAACAGCATCTGAAAGGAATGCCACACACCTTGATATCTGAGTGCAATGATTACATTCTGAAAAGAAAACCCAAACTAAGAGAAATATTCTGGAACATCTGAAGTACCTGGATTAAGAAGTTGTAAAAACTTTGATAAGGGTTAATGGGAGGACTTGTTATATAAATTTAAGTAAAATAAACATATTTTATATCTTTTTCAACAAAAATCAAGCCCAAAGTTGAACAGTTTTCTAATGATCCATCTTTTAAACATTAACTTACAAAATTCCACTCCCTAGATCTAAAAGAAAATTCCAAACATTTCTTTGCAAATGGCTAGTCATGCAAATTGTGACTCACTGCTGACTTTCCAAAGTCCTTCAGTAGGCTTTGGCTACCCCTTCACTACTCAACCTATGGAGGTCTCAGCATTAGGAAGGCTGGGGACCACTGGGCTAGAGTCTTGGACTACACAAAAAGGAGAGACTAAGGAGCACCGGTACTCACCATTCTCTGCTTCCTAAAATGCTATGTGACAGCTACCTCAAGTCCCTGCTGCTGGGACTTCCTAACCCTGAAAGACATGCCCAGGGACTGTGAGCCCAAATAAACCCACCCTTCCGTAAGCTGTTTTCTTCAGTTTTTTGTCTTAGCAATGAGACAAGTAATACACATCCCTCCTTTGAGTGCTATGCTTCAGGGCTCGTTTGGTTAGTTTTGCAGCAGTGATGATGGGTTTACACAGAATTTCCCACATTTTCTGTGAATAAGAGGAGAGGATAGCCAGACATGGTGGCATACACCTACAATCCCAGAATTTGGGAGGGGGAGAAAGGAGATCTTGAGTTTGATGGCAACTTGGGCTACCTAGCAAGTCCTAGGTGAGCCTTGTCTACACAAGTAAGACCCACCTTGTTTCAGTAACAAATTAAGCAAAGGTAAAGAGGATGAGACATAACGTGTAGGATTTCTCTTTGGAATTAATAGGCCTATACAAAATAGAGGACTGCAACTTGCCCTCATTTCACTATATTTAAAGTAGTAGTAGTTTCTACATATTTTCATCAAACATATCCAATATAAAATAATTTTATGTACACATCCAAATACATGTATGTTTGCTTATAAATTACAAATGTAAACTGGTGTTGGTGGCACATGCCTTTAATCCCAGCACTTGTGAGGCAGAAGCAGGCGGACCTCTGTGAGTTCGAGACCAGCCTGGTCTACAAGAGCTAGTTCTAGGACAGGTTCCAAAGTTACACACAGAAACCCTGTCTCAAAAACCAAAAATTCCCTCCCATTACAAATCCTGTTTAAAAAAAAAAAAAAAAAAAAAAAAAAAAAAAAAAGAGAAAGAAAGAACCAAGAACCATTAACGTTTTAATTTTACCAACTAGCTGGAGTTACACATGAAGCAGAATTGAATTCTATTCAAATCCAGAAAACAGAAACACATAAATGAAGAAAATCTTAGCCAAAAACTCTACTTTTAACTTTTAGTACTCAGTCTTAAGGATATGATTACAGATGAAGTAAATGATTTTTTGAGTTATATACTAAGATAAATGTCTAATACTAGAAGACAGTCTTCATTTATTTAGAGACAAGGGATCATATATCCCAGGATGGTCTTGAGCTCACTATGTAGCCAAAGATGGTCTTGAACATCTGATTCTCCTGCTTCTACTTTCTGAGTGCTGGGATGACAGGCACGTGCCACCAGTGTTGGGGATCAAACTCTGGGCTTCCTGCAATGCCAGGCAAGCACCCTACCAACTCAGTTTTATCTCTAACCCTTAATTCTTTTTTTTTTTTTTTTTTTTTTTGAGACATAGTCTCATTATATAGCTCAGGTTGGCCTTGGATTAGTAATCTTCTTGCCTCAGACTCTAGAGTATTAGGATTACAGATGTATGCTCTAATACCTGGTAGAAGAGAATCTCTATACACCAATGGGGCTGGCCAGATAGTTCATTGGATAAATATGCTTGTCATTAAGTTTGATAACCTGAATTCAGTCCTCTTGACCCATACGAGGGAAGGACAGAACTGACTTCCAAAAGTTGTTTTGTGACCTCCACATGTACATAAGTAAAATAAAAATATATTAAAAAATTAAAATATCAGGCCATAAGGGTCAGGCATGGTGGTATATCCCATATTTTGGGAGGCTAATTCAGGAAGATTTCCCCAAATTGAAGGCAATCATGGCTAAATAGTAAATTTGAGGCCAGCCTAGGCTACAACACAAAACTCTGTTTCAAAGAACAAAGGAGAATAAAACAAGAGTAATTAATAAATAAGTTAAGTGCCAGAAAACTGGACTTAGCAGCACATTCTTGTAATCCCAGTATTTGGGAGATTGAGGCAAGAGAATTCTAAGTTCAAGACCAGCCCAAGTTATATAGTGAGTCTGGGGACAGGCTGGGCTCTATCTCAAAGAGACTCTATCTCAAAATACAAGAAAAAATTAAACAATAGAATATAATGGATAGTTGTTACTAATTATCTACTGAAGAATGTTTAATGGGGGTGAGCTCAATGGTAGTGTATTGTATCTGTTTAGCATATACTTAGGTTTATAGTCAATAACACTGAAAAAGAAGTTTAATAAAATCCTGCTGTGAATAGGTAAATTTACCTATGTTAAGCAAAACACATACATACACATGTATATAACAGATTTATATACAAATATAAAGTTTGCTACTAATATTTCTGTATAAATTATGTATATTCTAATTGCAGTATAATATAAGCAATGTTTACATGTAGGTGATAGGAGACATTTTTACTTTATCCCCATATTTTTCTACCACAAGTATATTACTAATTTTGTAATCAAGAAAAAAGCTTGAAGTTATTGAAAATAAATAACATATTCCAAAGACAGTAAGTATATTTCTTGCACTTGGAAATTTGGTGAGCCTGAAAAGTAACAAATCTTACTAGCTATTTTCTGCTACAGAAGTTATCCATTTAGGTAAATAATTCATTACACTGAGAACCTATGTGGAATAAATCTTCTAGGTACCAAAATCACACTGGGCTAGAGAAGCACTTATATTTTAAGAAAACAGTCTGTGGTTACTAAACAAAACCACCAGATGCCACTATTGTTTCACCAGAAAGACTAAAATATCCCCTGTGACTTTTAATTAATTCAATACATGTTCTCTCTCTCTCTTTCTCTTTCTCTCTCTCTCTCTCTCTCTCTTTCGCTCTCTGTCTCTCTCTCTCTCTCTCTCTCTCTCTCTGTGTGTGTGTGTGTGTGTGATTTACTTATTTGTTTTTTTGAGGCAGTGTTTCTCTACATAGCCCTGGCTATCCTGTAACTTGCTCTGTAGACCAGGTTGGCCTGGAAATCACAGAGATCTGCTTGCTTCTACCTCCTGAATGCTGGGATAAAAAGTGTGTACCAACCCTGCCTGGCTGATAATAATACAGTCTTAAGAGAAGGTATAACCATATAAACAATTATAGGCTCTTATCCCCAAAAGTCAATCAGAAGTGATATGAATTGTTATCAAGGAAAAGCGTAGGGGGCAGGCAGGATGGCTCAGTGGGTTAAGGCCCTGGCTGCCAAACCTGATGATTTGTTCAGTTTCTGGGACCCTGCTGTAGAAGAAGAGCATCGACTGCTGAAAGCTGTCCTCTGACCTCTCCACCTGTTCTGCAGTATCATGCACTCAGCATATCAACAAACAAAATGTAATAACACTTTTTTAAAACTTAAAAAGTAATAGATTCAGACCACAAAAGCTGAATTTCTATTTTTAAATACCCTGTTAATAGTAGATTTTTTTTTTTTTTTGGTGTGTGTGTGACAGGGTTTCTCTGTATAGCTCTGGCTACATAGCTCTGTGTAGCTCTGGTGGCATATCCCTTTAATCCCAGCACCAAGGAGCAGAGGCAAGCATTTCTCTCTGGGTTCAAGGCCAAGCTGACCTACACAGCAAGTTCCAGGACATTCAGGGGCTACATAAAGAGACCCTGTCTCTAACTAAACAAAAACAAAATTGTAATATTAACTTCATAGGGTTATTTTACAGATTCACTATTACCATGTTAATAACAAAGGTTAAATTATTGCATCTCTTTAGGAGTCAAAAATCTTCTAGCTTCCTTGGCTGCTGAGACTATATTTAAATAAGACAGGGACTCTGTTCCAGCGGCAAAGAACGTGCTAGCTCTGATGCTTCAGGACGTGGCTCTTTTGACTCATATCTGATTTGGGGTCTGTCACCTATGAGAAATAGACTGTGATAAGTCAGTTCACCCACTGAGCACTCAATGTTTCATCTTTGAAATATAAGGGAGTAGGGTCAAAAAAGCCTCCTATAGGTTCATAAGACCTGCACCAAGGAGACATTTTTCCTATTCTTACATAGTGTGCTTTCCTGAATCAGCACTTTGTTGGGGGACAAAGGGCTGTAGCACCCATGGGCAACATAATTTAGCATTATTGAGGTCTTCAATGTACCAGACACAGTGTTAGGGTATAGGGATACAGAAAGAGAAGATGGTACTCTCTCTCCCATCAAAGAATTTATAGTCAAGTTGAAAAAGTTACAGATAAGTTATTACAATGCAATAGGATGAAGGTATACAGGAAAGTACGTGGCTTATCTTAAACATGCTTTTGGTCAGGCAGTTTCAGGGAATTCAGAATAATTCAGAGGAACTTCTCTGATTTGCCTGGACCTGCTTCAGGATGAATCTCTCCCTAGGCTGTCCTTCAGTAGCTATACTGAATTTTGCCTTAAAGAGGCAAGGGATTTTCTAAAATACTCCCCGGCTTAATAACTAAAATGAGGCCGGGCGTTGGTGGCACACACCTTTAATCCCAGAACTTGGGAGGCAGAGGCAGGCAGATCTTTGTGAGTTTGAAGCCAGCCTGGTGTATAGAGGGAGTTCCAGGACAGGCTCCAAAGCAATACAGAGAAACCTTGTCTCAGAAAACAAACAAAAAACTAACATGAAAAGGAGAAGCAAATTGCCTCTAACACAATATAAAGATGGATTTGTGTGTGTGTGTGTGTGTGTGTGTGTGTGTGTGTGATCCATCAGAAGAGATTCTCCTGCTATTTAGCATAGATACTGTGTTTCATTCTCATTTTCTTTCTAAGTTCCCTCCCCTCTCCAGCTATTTTCAGTGACATTTTCCTCTTCTGTATAAGATGCTGGGCTCAGCTTTTTTAAACCCTTCAGTGGCTTTGAACCTCTGCCTCCTCTGTGCCCTTGCCAGTATGCCTTCATTGATCTGATACTCCTAAACCATGGCATCACAGGACTGGAAAAGACATGAAAAAGCAAATGCCAGCTTCTGCCATCAGCCAATTTCAAAGGCCACAAATCCCCACCTGCTTACCAGACTCTCGGCGGTAAGCTCTGGCAAATCCTGGATGGTACAGCATGGGTAGTCCAGCACTGAAATGCTGCAAGATGCAGAAATAAGGACAAGCTTTAGGTAAATGGCAACAGCAGGAAATGGCTGCCTTTGAAAAGGGCAGGAACTGTTCCTCCCCAGTGGACTCCATGTGTCTCTCAAATTGCTTAATGACCTCAGCTGAAATTGAGGGCACTGGTACGGGGCAACTCCAATTCTAGTGTCATCTCACAGCGGAACCATGGAGTTCTTTTAAGCTGTTCCTAATCTGCAAAAAGAGCTAACCCTTTCCTCCTTAGCTGTCTTAGGTTCTTCAGGGAATATGTAAATGTAAGTGCATCTACCTCTGCATTTAAGTATGTATGTAAATTAATATTATTCCCAGAGATGCCACACAAGCACATCTTACTAAATAATAACCTGAGGATTTGAAGAGGACAAGATCTGTGTTTCTCAACTGATCATTCTGAAAGCCAGGAACTCTGGGGGTAGCTGTCAACGCTACCCTAGATGAAGCTTGAGGCACAGGGTGACTTCTTATAGTATGGCAAATCAAATGGTAGTTCAAGGATGATATATAATAATGCTTGTTCTCCAAACAGTGGGAATTACAGGGAAGCCACAAGCTCTGTAGTAAGCTCAGGGAATAGGCTTAGGTCAGGAAAGGAAATAAGGTACCACATAATAATAGGGACATAGTAAGTGGCTGTTTTTTTCTTTCCTCTACCCTTTACTAGTAAATGCAGAATCTGGACTAGCTAATTTATAATGCTCCTTCTGTTTCTAATAGTCAGTGAAATTTTATCACTAATCTATCTGTACTAGTGCAATTAGAGATGGGTAAATGATGTCAGTAAAGCCAGGGCTATAAATTTAGCATGAGCATTCTTGGACCTGCCTGTACATTTTAAAAGTCCAAATTTCTGAAAGCAAATCACTCATTTATGATAGAAATATTACCACTGTTCAAGAAACCCAGGTCAAGAAAACTTCGATTAACCAAGGTAGGAGAGGAAGATCAGCCCAGGAGAGGGGAGTGAATTTATGTATAACATTGCCCATCATTCTAATTAACTTCTGGATTCTGTGGGTTGCCCTGTTAGGATAAATATTCTTGGCTCATCCATCCACTTATCTACTGTATTCTTATTTAACATGCTAATCTTGTATGTGTGGTATATAGTATGTAGGTGTGCGCATGTGTGTGTACAGATGAACATGCACGTGTGTATGCATGCATGTGGAGGTCAGAGGTTGGTATCAGATATCTTCCTCAGTTACTCTCTACTTACTTTTTTTGAGACATGGTCTCTCATTAAACATGAAGCTCAGCGATTTGTCTGTGCTGACTGGCCAGTGAGCTTCACGGATCTATCTGTCTCCATCTTTCAAGTGCTGGGATTATAGATATATACTGCCACACCCAACTTTTTATATGGTTTATAGGGATCAAAACTCAAGTCCTCATGCTTGTTGACCCTTTATTGACTGATCTATCTTTGAAGGTTCATAATCCTGTTCTTTGAGAAAACCAGTCCACCTCTCCGATTTTGTCTCCTAATTGGCAAGATGAGAACAAAACCTGTACTATCTCTTAGTATTGCCAAGGTTAAGTGGAAATATGCATGTAAAATTATCATACTTTGGGCTGCCAAGATATAGCTCAGCTCCTAATGGCAACACTGACAACCGGGACGCTGGGGTGAAGAAGAGAATCCATTCCTGCAAGTTGTCTCTGACCTCCACACCCATGCCTTGGCATGTGTGCACCCATATTCATGCACGAACATAAAAATTTAAAAAGCAACAAGTTTAAAAGTATATCTTAAACTATAAATTGTCCTACCCAAGTAGATGTCTATTGTTTACCTTTGACTACAGATTTTGAACCTTCCCTGGTGGTCTGGTGGTTAGGATTCGGCATGCTCATTATTATGAATTTTGTACAATGCTTTCTATTTACAAAGCAGTGTAACTGTTCCAGCCACTGCAGCTTATGCTTTCTTTTGAGAGCAGAGCTGTTCAGACAAAAGGGCTGTTGCACAACACAAACGTCTCCTAGGTTCTTTTTCATCACAGAGATTTCATCTTGTAGTTTCATTTCAAAATATTTTTCACGTTTGAAAATTTTAATATATAAAATGTACACAAAGAGGAAAATTCACACATTCCCATCAGTCAATACTTCAAGAAAACGGAATCTAACAGGGAGAGCTCTAAGGAAGGAGGGACTAGTGACACCAGAAGAAATGGAAGGTGGAGACATGGAGGAACTTCCTTAAGCATCCCAGGCAGCCCCTGAAGTCTGTGCAGAGTCCGTACCTGTTTTTGGCAGTGATATAGGACAGGATATTTTGATTGAAGAACTTCAGGATCAAGGGGATACAGTTGGCAAATACTAAATGTTGTGACACATATTCAAACTGAATTAAAAGATCAAAGCAGAAAAGTTTGCTTATTTGGGGGAAGATATAAAACATGCATGGAAAAGAGACAGGGAAATGCAAATATAACATCTATTCCTAAGAATATCTGCTGTCTACTGTGTTATCAGTCTGTCAGTCTCTGAATTGCGGACACTCATCTTCAGCCAGCCTACCTTACATGCAGGATGATCTGCAGTGGATGCTACAAGCTTTTGATCAAAACCACATATTAAACACACTAGGATGGAAAACATACGTCAAACAAATAGCAAGAAATGCTGTGAGTTTTGCTCCTATGCGCGATGGGAAAGAGTCTCCCTGAGGGAGCTGGCTTCCATACCAAACCTCTGGCTCATAATGTTTCAACTAGGATTGATATAGAAGGGACAGGTGGAACTAACTCTTAGCAACTGCTGGTGTCAGGCTGGAGACAGCACGCAGTAACCACTGGAATGTATGTTTCAGGAGACTGTACAGAATATGATGTTATCGCTAATACTAAGAATATCAGTGATTCAGTGAATGAGTAGCCACCCTGGATTTTGTTTATTATGCCCCGAGAAGCACCAAGAAAACAATTGCCCCCAGATTAGGAACTTAGAATGCTGGGACCGAAAAGGCAGAGAACTATGGGTTATAGACCCCTCCCCCCAGCTCTGTGTCATCAGCAAGTAGTAGTCATGTCAGAAAGGCAAAGCTGCTTTCTGATCCCGAGTATGTGGTTAGAGATGAGGAGTCAGCTTGTGCCTTAACCACTTCTCTCTTCTACTCATTTTTTTTCTCCCTGGAAGACAGCCAAAGGTATTTTTTTGAAGCCCCAGACAAAGGAGCCAGGACACACTTACTAACAAAAGATGGGAAGTTTTTTAAACTTTGAGCCATGCCCAGGCTCTTTCAGGACTCGCCCACACTGACATGTATTGTAGCAAGGCCCATCAGGACATCCGTCAGGCTGGCTATAGATCTATCTACTGCCCACCAAGAGAAACCCTGAGAAACACACATTCTAGTGGGAAGAGGGAGTAGTGTCTCCTAACCACTCTGCTGCTTCCAGTCCTGATGCTGCCAGCAAACACTGGCAGCAAACACATGGCCACAGACCTGCAGGGCCCTTCCCTGTACACTGATGACTCACTCTTATATCAGCCTTTATTTTGAGTGCTTAGGTGGAAAATGGAGTAAAGCCTCAGGGCAGAAATGAGAAGGCTTCCAATCCCCAGGCTTTCCCCAAAGAAGAAGCATCTATTTACTTGTCCTTGTATCTTGGTAATGTCCACAGGCCCAAGGCAAACAATGCCTCTGCTAGAAAGCAAAGCAAGATCTTGACTTCTGACTCTATGGTCCTCTCACCTACAAAATGGGGATAGGCTGGAGCACCCGGGAGACAGAGGCAGGTGGATCTCTGAGCTGAAGCCCAGCCTGGTGCACATAGTGAGTTCCAGGACAGCCAGGGCTGCATAGTGGGACCCTGTCTCAAAACAACAACAAAACTAAAAACGAGCAAGAAAACAGACAAAATAACCCCAGCTCCTCCTCCTCCTCCTCAAAAACAAAACAAAACTCCACAAACAGGAATAAAACGAGGCCCCCTAAGGGTGAGAGCTCTCCATAATTGTGTGCTATCAGATGTATGATACCTGCCAACCACTGTGGCTTCCTGTATTACCAGAACGTCTCCATCTAGCAACATTTAATCACTTTCCAAAAATACACTGCTCTTTCTCCTCGGGGTTTTCACATATTAGCTTCAGTTGGCTCTTACTCCTCTCTGATAACTCCCATTTCCTGGATAACATTCCCCCCCCCCAGGATTCAGGTTAAAAGTCACCTCTTCTCTGGAATTGGTATTTCTACAGTATCCAGTTACCTACCTATGTCACACCGCTCTACAACTGGACAAGGCCTGTAAGAGCCTGATCTGTGCCTCATTTAGAATTATATCTCAAATGTCAGAAAAGTGCTTCACGTACATGACCGATACACCCAGTGACATTGATTCTGACTGACTAGGAGTATTCTCAAGAATCCCTAACTAACTTACAAAGACCTTGAGCTAACTTACAAAGAGCATAGATTTTTGCCTCTTCTTTGCATGGCTTCCACATCCCACTCCATGTACTCATGCAACAAATAGCTAGACTTTCTAATAGGGGGCAAAGGAAAGGCCGAATAATGCTCAGCAGTATGAGGATTCTTGTGTTGCTTCTCTAGGGCATGGGGAATACTTGAAGCTTGTGACACAGATCTCCTACCTGCTCACCTGGTAGATATGGTTGAGTTTGAAGTGTTTGAGAAGCAGAAGGAGCAGGGCAGAGATACTTTTTACAATGATCTCCTTGTGCCTGTTCACGTCAATGCCCAGCTTCATGCTCTGGAGAACAGTTATGCTACAAGGGAGAGAGGAAGCATCAGTATAAGGGAAAGACCCAAGTATTTGGGCTAGATATGATATATCCATGTCTATATGTCTATATCTATATATCTATAGCTATGAGGGTCAGAACTTAGGAAACTTGAACTTCTGCGCTAGGAAAACCTCTGGCGTTCCCATTTAGGAATCTGTCCAGGAAAAAGCCTCCATGATTTCTTTGTTGACATGTCCTCTGTCTGGCAAACTTGCCCATTGGCACTGTCTACTAGCCACTCAGTGGCAGCTAGTCACTAGCACTGAGGTTATCTGTTAGACCTAGTTCTGAGTTATACAGAGCTCGGCAGAAGGCCCTGCAGCGGACAGGAGCTATATGCATAAAAGAAGAGATTTCTCTTAAAGGCAATTCCTGTAAGTGTTAACAAAATGAGGTGGGACAGAGAGGCCTTCAAGACAAGGCACGAGTGTTCAGCAACTGCCCCACTGGAAGCACTCACGGCATCTCTTCAGGCAGGACATCTGCGAGGATATTGATAGAGTCTGTCTTAGCCTTGGAGGTGGGGGCTGCAGCTAGTAGAATCTTAAGCAGAGCAATCTAGGAGACAGAAAAAGGAGAAACCCAGCTTTGTCTATCTCACTCAGCAAGACAGAGGCTCTTTCAAACCTCTTTAGCCCAGTGAAAAGTGTCTCAAAGCCTTTACGATTTTTCTTCAGGGGCTAAGCCTTGCCAGAATATAGGGATGCAAACAAGTATTTATCCTGAGGCTTGTCTGTGAGGCCAAGGAGGGAGGCCAAAGCAAGCTTGTAGGCTGTTTTTGTTTCAGTACTACTTCTTCTAGAGGGAACACAGAAAGAAGAAAGTGGAAAGGGCAATGCAGAGGAATAAGCAGGGGAGGTAAACACAACATTCTCCCTTCCTTTTCTTCCTCTAACCCTATCGGCATGGTCACCATCCCTATCCAGAGGCTACCAAAGACATGGAGGACAATGGCGGAACTCATGATAGTGGTAATTAGCCAGGAGGAAGGGCCCTGATGCATCACGTGTAGACCTTACTTTACTCAGCATCCCTGACCCTGTCAGAAAGGCTAGGGAGAATGGCACCGTCAGAGGAGCCACAAGGAAAGTTCAGAATTCCTCATTTCTCTTAGTAAAAGAAGAGGGCAGCTCTGGCCCAGCCTGTGCCTTACCATGTACTGTGGAAGGCTGTACAGCATGCCCTGGTAGAGGATTTCACATGGCGTTTCTGGTACCACCTCTTCTCCCTATGGCAAGAAGCACAGTTTACCCAGGCTACTTTCCAAGTTACTAAAGAAAGGTTACATGCTGTTGGTTGGTGAGGGTAGCACGAACAGAGAACTAACTGCATGGGGAGTCAGCCTGGGATGCTGTCCTAACTGTGGTAATGTTTAGATGATCGTTGCGTCTTTGTCCAGTCCCCTTCTCTGCAACACCTGTCTCCCTCTTTTTTTCCCATTCCTTTTCAATGCACTCATAACAGGCTTTTAGCCATTTTACTAACCAAGTCACCAGTCACCATAATGCTGCCCGATCCAACAGGTACTTCTGTTCTTATCATATGCCATCTATCAGCAGCATTTGGCCCAGCTGATCGCTCCTGTCTTTAAAGACTGTTTTTATGGTAACATACTTCTAGATTTTCTTCCACTTCATTGAGTGTTCTTCTTACTGTGTGTGTGTGTGTGTGTGTGTGTGTGTGAGTGTGTGTGTGAGTGTGTGTGTGTGTGTGTGGGTGGTTTCTTTCCTGATCCATCCCACCCTCAATCCATTGGTGTGTCCCAGGAACTTTCCTGGGCCCATCCCCTTCTGTCTCTGCCTACTCCCCTGGGTTCTCTTCGCCTTTTCTACAGTCCTTAACATTGTAACAAATCAATGACTCAAATTTCTTGAAGCCAGTCTTCTCCCTAGAACTCTAGACCTATAATATCTATCTTCCCAATAACTTTTCCCAAGTATTTAATGGACACCTACACCTTGGTCGGACCAGACACGATTTTCTGTACTCCTATTTTCCAGGTGACACTTAATTTTGATTCTTCCCTTTGCCTCTTGATATCTATCCAATGGAACTGCAAGTCCCATCAGCAATACTTTCCAAATAGAAGCCAAATTCTCCTACTTTATGACCCTAGTCTAGGTCACACTTTCAACTTCTACTTTAACTGTTTTGAGATGAGCTAATGCCACCACCCCTCCCCCTTTGTTTGGTTCAATCTTTGCTTAGTAGATAGTGTTTTTTAAAACTAAAGATCACAGTCTTTCCTCTGCTTAAAATCTCTGAAGGTTTTCCGTTGTGCTGTGGGTCAGCTTCAAGCTCCCTACCTCTGCTAACAGGTCCTACATCTCCCCTTGTCATCTCCACAACCCCACCTCTTACCCATGGGTTGTCACAACAGCCTTCTTTTGCTGCCTCCTCTTCTCTGTGCCTGCCCGTTCTAACCTGATTCTACTTGCAATGTCTTCTTCCCAGAAGTTCCTATGACTGGCTCCTGTCCATACCTTAGATCTTGGTTAAATGTCACCTTCTTAGATAGCTCATCTATTCGCTCAACCCAGAATAGTCGACAGGTAGTTTCCTGATGATTTCCTATTTAGATCATCTTCACGGGACCTACCATTCTGTGATGGTCTTGTTCAGTTGTTTAACTGTTTTCCACAACTTTAATGTAGCGTGCAGCTTTTGTCTTATATGACACACAGCAAAAGCCCAACAAGCTGAATCAGTGCAAGTACAATGTATGCTATTCGACAGCACTACAGACAGAGTTCATTCTTCTCCCTCTGTGTGCCGGAACCCTTGACTTACCAAAGACATGGGGCATTTCTCCAGCTCCTCTTCATTCTTGATCTGTATATCTGCAATGGAGATATACTTGTGCTGGCAAAGATAAGAAAACATCAACAAGGGTTGAGAACCTAATTCCCATGTGTTCCAGTCCCTTCTTTAACTTTCCTTGTTCATAAGGAAATGTTCTATGGGTTTCAAACAGACACAAAACCTTTGGAAGCAAGAATCTTATTCTCTTCTGCAAAATTAGCACTGAGCAGTACTTTGTAAACAATGTTTCTGTGTATTACATTCTCATATTTGTTGGACACTAGCAAATACCTAGTCATTTACTTTTAAAGTACAGGGGGAAGCCAAGAATAGACCTTTACCCAGACAGGTTTGATGTATTTGCATGTATGTATGGAGTGATGACTCCACATTCTTTGTGTTTAATGTAACTGGATATAAAGATGATTCCTACATAATCTTTAGCCTTTAGAAGCTGGTAGACCTATGGGGAGAGAAATAAAAGAAAAGGAAACAATGGGAAAGGAGAGAGAAGAATAGAAGGGGGAAAAGAAACAAGAGAAAGGAATTGTTTTCTCACTGATTTGAATGTAGAAATTGGGTAAGTAGAGAGAGATGCCCTGACTTTTCCTGTTTGGACAAAGGGCCTGAAGTGGGGTTGTACCTGGAGATCTTTACTCAGTAAGCAAGAAAGTGGTAATTGGACTCCACTGATGCTTCCCTATCCTTGAGGAATGACAGCCCACCCTGGTCACCTGCTTTAGAGTCTTCACACTTTCATGGATGGGTCGAGGTAATCCAACCAAGGTATCTGTGTCCCTGTAAGAGGCCCAAAACACCAAACCATGAGCTTAACAGAAGAGAAAACTACCCACACACTCAGGAATCACAGGGACCACACACTTCAAGCATCTACTCCTGGTATCCTATACCTTTTTGTTTTTTGTTTTTGTTTTTTTGAGACAGGGTTTCTCTGTAGCTTTGGAGGCTGTCCTGCAACTTGCTTTGTAGACCAGACTGGCCTTGATCTTACAGAGATCTGCCTGTCTCTTGCCTCCTGAGTGCTGGAACTAAAGGTGTGCACCACCACCTCCTGGCCCTATACCTTCTTATATAAGGTTCCAGGTCCATGATCTTGCTTAAGGTCACAAAAATAACAATGGCACACAGAAGCATTCCTGAAAATTAGATTTCTATCATGTAGTCTCTTAGCTATTCACGTGGCCTGCAGGCGACAGATCCCCACTTCAGGGGTAGGTAGCCTATCAATACCTTTGACAATGAAATCCCTTCAAGCTTTACAAAGGCTAGTGAGGAAGATTCATGGCCTTCTATGATATACTCTATATTCAGTTTTGAATATTTAGTCACTTACTGTCCCAGGGTGAATCCAATGAACTTATTTCTGCTCATCTCCAAGAAGTGTTCAATGTCCTTCTGTCTGAGATGATGATGGTGAAGAAACCAATACCAGAGAGAGGAAGAAAACAAAACAACCGTGAGAAAGAGGACTTTTAAGAGCTTCTGCTCCTTCATTTGGAAGGACTAGAGCAGTAGAAGACAGAACTCAAAAGAAGAACTTCAAACCCAGGTGCTCTGATTACCACACCGGGCTAATGAACAGTGACTATGCATGCGAGTCCAACTGGTTCTTCAGTGATCGGAATCCCAATGCTCAGGGTCATCGGTACCATTAAACATACCTGACCTTTGGGGCCCAGGGAAGGCCCTTGGGAAAGGCTACCCGGTCAGTAGAGAGAGGTGTCTGGGAGGGTGGAGGCGGCACCAGAGGATCCTGTTCTAGCAGGTCTAACTCTCCATCCAAGCTTCGTTCTCCATCAGCTGCAGACTCCTCTTCTTCCTCTGTGGCTGGTTCCTCAGTCTTGAAGAGATCCCTTTCATTGTAGATGTCCAGGCTGTCTTGCTTGGTGAGGAGTTGCTGGTGGTGGTGAGAGAGAGAGGAAATTCTAGAGCTTGTGGCAACCTTGTCTGAAGTCATTCTCTCTAGACCTTAGGAAACATGAGGTTGAAATCCATCTACTATGGGAACATTCCATTAGTCATCTCAATCTTACAACCCACTGGGCTCAATCACAGGACAAGCAGCTCCCAGGAAAAATGGCCATGGCCAGGAAACAGAGCAGATAGCTAGCTAGCTTCCAGAAGCATTGCTGCTCCATCCCGCCTCCTAAATCCCCAGCATTTTCCTTCCTAATTATGCTCTGCTTAGGTGAATGTTCAATTAGTTTGCTTTCTGTCAGCATACACCAGCTGGCTGACTGAGGAAGAAGATGACAGAAGCTTGCTGCCAGGCAGAGAAAAGTGAGTTTAGAATGTTAAATCTCATTGCATAAAGAAAAAAAGATTGGACAGAAATAGGCCAAAAAGTTAATAGTCACTGCTTCTGGTTGTTAAGCTTGTGGGTGCTTTTTCTCTCTTCATCACATTTTTACATTTGTTCCAAATTTTCTACAATGAGTAAGCATCACTTTATGAAACAAAGGAGAAAGTTTTTTTTTTTTTTTTTAAATTCATTCTGCCTATAATTTAGACTGGATTGTGTGACCCTGTTACCTTTAATTGGTAAACTCTGGTAGGTCAGGCAGGTGAGTTCGTGAAAATGTGGCCACGGCTCAGTCATCTAGAACTTCTCAATAATATATACTACCTAGAACCCTAACCAGCCATCTCACAAATGTAAGCTGTGGTCCAAGGCCAGAAGGAGTATGGTGGCTCAAAATAAAATTGCTTGCTGCCAAGAAAATGGTGAGTGACTCACGATAGACTTGTAGATTTGCTAGGTGCTCTTTTCAGGGCGCCATCTCTCAGAGCTCTAATATGACCAGTGTCTAGGAGGCTAAGCAACTCTAGCCACTGAGGCCCAGGCAATAATACATGGCCGGGGGCCAAAGTATAGATTCTAAGGATTCATCTTGGCTACAGGGCCAACCTGGGATGGCCATTTACTGCCCTTTCCTACCGCATCCATACCATCTGAGAATCTTAATTTTTGACCAGCCAATACCCCAATACTACCATATGCTCATTGTTCATACCCTTCGAGAACCACGGCGGCCCCGCAGCTTGGAGGGTGGAGGGGCCAGCTGAGACTCCCCCAGATCAAGAGTGTAAGAAGGTGGGGAGGCAGCACGCATGCTCTTTACGACCTGGATACTGTCCTCAGCTAGTGGGGGCAGGCCCATCTCTGCACGCTTCTGTATTTTGAGAGCCTGCAGATGTTCAAATCCACCAAGGGTAAACTAAAGAGTAAAAAGGAAAAGGGAGGTTATTCAGTACCCACTGGCCAGCCCTGACCATGTTGCATTTATGTCTTTATAAGTGTGTGTGTGTGTGTGTGCATGTAACAATATGAATTTCAGAGAGAACAAGGAGCAAGGGGTGGGTACTTGGGATGTGTTAAAGGGTGCAAAGGGAAAGGGGGAAATGGTGTAATTATATTTGTAATTTCAAAAAAAATTTATGAAAAAAGGAGGAAGAGACGAGAGGGGACGGGAGGGCAGTCATAGAGAACAAGGGCAGAGAAACATGGACAGAAGGGAAGAACCACATCTTCCCGTTTCCTCCACTGCCTCTTATGCAAGGAAGCAGAAAGGCACGAAGAAACAAACATTATCACCGCTTCAGTCTGAGGATCTCTAGGGCCAGAATAAGACACAGCATTATTTACTGACCCAGGGCTGGAAACAGCAGTAAATGTTAGAGGGCCCCCCCCCCAACTCCACTGGAACACATTTTAAAAATTAGGAGATAATCCTCCCTTTGTTTTGATCTCCCTTTGATCTTAGTGTGCAGCCCAAGCTGGCCTTAAACCTTCAATCTTCATGCCTGTCTGTCGAGTGCTACTTTCACAACTGTGTGCCACTGTCCTTGGCACAATCAGCTTTAAGGAGCACAGTCTGATATTACGATGGCCTCTGTAATCAAGACGTGGGTCACCCTATGAGGCCCACTAGGAGGGTATGCTGTTCCTCCAGGCCTATGGGATGGGAGCCAGAGGGAGACTATGGGATGAAGGATCAGATTAAATAGTAAATAACAAATTGTTAACCATACACTTGAAAGGACACCCATCCTCTATTAGAAGAAAAGGCATGCATTAACCTTTAACATTTCATAGCAACAGAAACAGGCACAGAATAGTCCTGGGTTCATTGGTATGGAAAGAGTCAGATTCCCAATGGTCAGCTAGGGTTCTTTCCATGAAACATCCGTTCTTTTAGGGGAAAAGGTGCCATTGACATTGTCAACTCATGGAGTGGCATCCAATGGATTCTCCAGGAGAAGCAGGAACCTGATGATACAGAATATCTGATGATCCTAGGTGGGCCTTTTGCTCCTCCCAGTTAGCTGGGTTAGGGTTGGGGCCAATTCTGCTGCCTAGCTCTGCCAGTGAGATGGGAATGGAGATCAGCCACTCACCATAACCACCTTCCAGAGCAGAAGCAGAACCTTCTTTATTGGAAAGTGAGGGGCCAGGCCACTGCAGAATTTGGTAACCATGGAAAAGAGCAGGAGGGCAAAAGGCTCTTCATTATGTGTGGAAAAGCCTGAGATACAAAGAGAATCAGAGAAAGAGATGAAGGAGCTGACCCCTGCTGTAAAATCCCGGAGTCTGGGCGCACTGAGGAAGGCACTCACCCACCCTGAAAACTCCCAGCGCACTGACGGGAGGAGGCATAGTGAGCCCCCCAGAGGCAGTTCCCTTCAAGGACAGGATTGAGGATATTGTGGTAAAATACTGTGCCCTACCCTAGGGGTCATTAAGGAAGTGACAGTAATGATGTGGCTTTCTAGCTGAAGGAATCAAGGTATTTCGTCGACCCCACTTCATTCTTTACTTATTAACATTAACAAATATATTTTTTAAATGCTTTCCATACCCTATCCCTCTCAGATGATGACTTCAGCTTACATTAGAACTGAGTTCCGTTTTTAAGGCAATTCAGCTCTTTTCCCCCCAATATGGGATTCGTGATGAAACGGGAGAGGAATGGTCATCCTCATTTCTAACCAGGGGGACTAAGACACATGGGGAGCAATAAAACCCAGCCCTCATGCCCCATGAAACATGTCTGTCTTAAAAAAGAAAAGATGCTAATTTTAAAAAGAAAAAGAGAACAAAACAGGACTGCTTTCCTCGCTGGGCAGAATCTCTGTCTCCCATCCACCCCCAGTGCTCTGTACCCACCCCCCTCGAGTGCCACTTCTTACTTAGCTCGGTTCGGAAGGTCTCTCGGGCTGCCCTCCACCCGCGGGGGTCTATTTCTCGCTCCAGGCGGATATTTTCCACCATTAGGTACATGACACTCAGCAGCACCCTAGAAGTCACAAAAGGATCGTAAGAGATGCCCAGGCAGTTCCCAGACTGTAGTTAAAGACTTGAAGCATGACTTCAGTGGGAGTCCAATCAGATAAGATTAGTTAAAAGGTAACTTCTCACTCATCTGGGATTCAGGAAAGGGTAACTCAGGCTAATCACCCCTCCATCCAAAGCCCGCGGTCACCCTCACTCACCTGAGCTCAGTGCTGTCAGCAATGGAGACGGCTGGCTTCCGAAGGGCACTATTAGAGGCCTGGCTGTTGCTGCCATGGAGAAGAATAAAAGAACAGGAACCCATAAGGCCTCTTTGCTGCCTGTACTCCCTCCCACTCTTCACACAAATACCTGACATCCCCTGGCTATACATCCACAATGGAACTGATCGAAGGTACAGGAACCCATAGGATTCCCTTGCTACCTCAGTGAATCCTCATCTATGGTGAAGGCGGGAAATAATAAACAGGCTTCAATGTAGCTAAAACTCCTGGATGGCAGGTATAAGAGACAGAGGGAGGGCTCACTGTAGTAGCAGCAGCAGACCGGCCACCTCTATAGTTATAAGTCGTGAGGGAAATAATTAGGCGCATTGACAGAAACTAGTCTGTTCCTCTTGTGTTGTGTTTGTCACGGGGAAAGTTTCCTGGAGGGATTCCAGAGTTAGGCTCAGCTGAAAAGGTGTTTAGATTAAAGGGTAACCTGTGAAGCCCAGGATTGTAGCTGCTGCTTAGTCCATCCTCGGGGAGGAAGAACATAGTATCTGGAAAGAAAGCTGGTAGGGAAAAGCTGTCAGTGAGCTTTGGGTGGAGATGTGCGTTGACTCAACTCCCGTGGGAACACGTACTGAGGGAATGCACCCTTTCTTCAGGACAGTCTATAGGCAGCCCTCCCTGCCGGCTCTCACTCGATTTCCATGTGGAGCAGCTCCAGGAAGGCTGAGAAGGTCCCCATCTGATAGAGCAGGAAGCAGTTGTATCTGGACCAGTGCATCACATCCACCTCTGAGTCACATTCCCCAAAAGTGCCTAGAGGACCAGACAGTTGCAGGAGGAGTCAGTCGGGTGGGGGCAGCTACCCTGCTTCTTTCTACCCCGCCATGTGGTCTTACAAGTTTCTGCATATTTCACAGACTAACAGAATTTGGGCAGGGTCCCTGAGAATGTCCTTAAATGAGTGACTCAGTGGGAGAAAAGTCCATCTTAAATGCCCCCAGCAGTAGATCCTGAGATAAGGGTTCAAATGCAAATAGTCTACTCCGGAATCACCCACCGGAAGAGAAATAGGGGAAGTAAGAGAGGGAAGAGAGGCAGCTGGAAGAGTTCAATCCCAGGGGACCTTCTGGAAATACTACAAAACGCACAACTCAGAGTTAGCTCAGCCAAGAGTGAGATAAGCAAAATTATCTTCTCAATCTTGTTAGTCATTTTTGAGGACTTCCTGACCGCCTTAAGCAAAAGGATCTTTGCAATGGCGTCCGGAAGATGGTTAGAGTGGAGAACTAAGACATTCAGAAGTACCGCCGTGTTTACCGCAATCTTCCCTTTCCTAGTCTTTTCTTCCCCTTTATTGTTTTTTCTTCTTTGCAGCTTTTTAGTTCCCAATCTGTTGGTTTGTCGGCAACCCTCACATGCATGATCTTAGAGCTTATTTTCATTACTCTAGCCAGACTATCTCAGTGCCCCTTCTAACACCTGGCTGACAGGTTTCTTCTGGGAAGCTTTCCTCGATTAATATCATTTAGCTCTGGTTATCTCCAAATTACTCCCAGCATTCCCTCCTGCTGCTGTGTTAGCTTCAAAATGCCGATGAGAAACTTCAGTGCTGGCACCAGGGCACAGCTGATGGGAGCAGTGTCTGTGATAACATCATCCGCTCTCCCCACGTGGACTCCCTCGACAACCTTCATATACACTTACAGCCCAGCTTAGAAGGGGGAAGATCCAGGTAAGAAGTCCCGGCATGCAGAGGGTATGATGATGGCTTATGTCTGTAACCCTAACTTAGGAGGCAGAGGCAGGAGGAACATGGGTTCAGTCATTCTCAGAGGAAAAGAAAGAAAAGAGAGGCAGGCACAGCACCACGCATCTTGGATCCTAGCATTTTGTGAGGCAGAGGCAGATGAATTTCTGTGAGTTCAAGACTAGCCAGAGCTACAAAGCGAGACCCTGTTTTTTAAAAAGAAAAAAGAAGGGAAGAACCTGATGTGTTTGGTAAGACAGAGGCAGATCCCAAGAGATCCAGAACAGTATCCAATCCTAATCTCCTGATCTCCTTGCAAGGACAGTCTACTCCTGGCATGGCAAGACCTGTCACTGAGATGTAAGGTACTCTGCTTTCCCAATAAGGTCTGTTTTATCCACTTCCCTCCTTAGTTTCTACCCCAATTAAATAAGCAAAAAACGGATACTTACCTTGGGCTAGATAGAGAACAGCCCGGGCCACCTTAAGCCGCTGTTCCCTACTGACCACCTCCAGTCGGTCCAGAAGTCCCATCACATAAGTCTTTTGGGCATCTTCTTCCAACTCCAGCCATTCCTTAGTGTCTTGCACTAGGGACAGAAAGCCAAATACACCTGATGTTGGCTACTGCTTCTTCTCCCTGGAAAGGGCCCTGATAATGTACTGATCTCAGTTCCAAAAAGAGTCTTCGCCCCAAAACCTTTTCTTATTTAAAACAGGTTGTTTTTTGTTTGTTTTGTTTTGCTTTTTGTGGCATTGAGAATTGAACCCTGGGCCTTTCACACACTAGGCAAGCTCTTCCCCTAAGCTCTACCACTAGCCCACGCCTTCCTCATTTAGCTAAGAAAACATAAGGGATACGAAAAGGGCCCATGTCTTAATATGAACCTACTCTGTCCCCACATCTTCACCTTTGTCCACACAGTCTATCCTGTTCTCTACCTTTCCTCAAGGAGTCCCCTCCATCCATATCCAGCTCTTAGTCATTCTTACAGGCCCAATACAGGAGCTCCCTTCCACACGAATGCCCAAACCGAAAGCTCTGCCCCATACACTTTTTTACTTTACTGTGACCTTTGAATTTTCCTCTGGGCCTTGGCTACTTGTGTGCTATGCATACCTCCCACAGCTATCAGACTTTGCACCTCGTTTGTAGAAGCTACAAATTACTTCTACCTTTGTGTCCTGCATCTCGGACACAACAGATACACACCAGATACGCACCGTACACTTGTTGAATTAAAAATTAAATTGCCACTGAGAAAGTAGGGAAACAGATCTGAAGGGATCACAGTCAGGGCACATAAAACGACTACTGGAAGGGGGTCAGAGTGAGAGACAGGAGCTAAACATTAAGGGCTAGGTTAGGCACAGCATGGGTAGAGTGTTGGTTCAGCCTTGCTGAACCAGCTCTCTATTTCTCTGGGTTTCATCTTCTCTGTTTAAGGAAGGCCGCATTCCATATGGTAGAAACGGAGGGTATGTGGTTGTGAAGGAGATGAAGAGTCAAGCTTTGGTTTAGCTCTTTTACTAGACCAGACAGAGATATCATCGAGGCAAACAGCATGCTTCTGTGAATAGGGCTGTAACATCACCTTGATTCTTGAAATCTTCTTCAAAGCACCGCCTGTTAGTGGTAAATTCCAGGTTCTCTGTGTAGCTATATAATTCTGTATCAGAAAGACAAAACAGCCACATTTAGAACCCCCAAGGAAGAATCTAGAGTAGAGAGGCTCACTTGAGGGAGCTGAAGGTTCCAACACATTCTTGTATCCAATTCAATTTAGAGCCAGTTCCCTCCCTTTCAGAACAGTTAAAAATAGCCATGTGCGTCCCTGGGTGATTAAACTATCAAACCTGTCCTCCTGCCAGATGGCTGGCAACAGAGAAGGAAGACAGCCTTCGGCATTTGGTAAGGGCCAGGGGGAGGGTTGGAGTACAGAGGGCTTAATGTCATCACTTGTGTTTCTTAGGGCTGCAATCCGTTCAATCAACCCAGGCTAGAACAATCCTACCTTTAGGGAAGAGAAGGGCAAAGTAACTTGGGATCTTAGAGGCAAGATTCTGGGCTGTTCAGGAAGCCAGGACAAGGGCTGAGAAACAACAATGACCACAACAATGACCACATGCTGGTTGGGGGCCAGTTTGCTTTTTCTATGCTGAGTTTTTTTGAAGGGTACAGAAATCTAGGCTCCTACACATGGCCACCTGGGCAGATGGTGTGGTAAATCGTGTAAAAAGCATCTAGGGTTGCCAAAAGATTTTGTGTTTAGGAAAATCTAACCTTATTGATTGTAGTCTCTGGCTATAAAACAGGATAACAATGTCCCCTGCCCCTTCAGCACCAGAATATTCACTTTGCAACCTCATTTTACAGAAGATGATTTAAAATCGAACATTATCTCAAAACCTATTCTGCCTATATCATGAAGTAATCGAAATTTACTGATATTTCAGCCAACTATTAAAGATTGAGAATTACTTGGAAGTCAGGACTCTTAAATCTTGTGTCACAGAAACTGGGGATAGCCAGAAACAGATCTCATCTTTGAATCTTAAATATGTCAATCATTAATTCATTAATAGAAATGTGAGTATATATGTATGTATTTATTTAGATTAGAGAAGTCAGGAAAGCTCAGGAAGGTAAATAGCACTGAACTTTGTCCTTACCTTTAAATGTTAGATAGTGAAATTTCATATACAGATAATTATAAAGTACATTTAAGATAACCACATATCTTCTACTTATTAAACAAATATAACATTTGTCATATTTGCTTCAGACTACTCTCCAGTCTCACTCCTTTCTTGGTAAGTGACTACTATCATGAATCTGGCATGCATTCTTCATATTCCCATTTTCAGATTTTTTACCACATTTGTATCTATCTATAAACAATAAACCAGGGCCGGAGAGATGGCTCAGTGGTTAAGAGCACTTGTAACTGTTGCAGAAGACCAGGTTCAATTACTAGCATCCATAAGGTGGCTCACAACTATCCATATCCCCACATCCAGAGCACACAAGTAGTATGCATACATGCATGCAGGCAAAACATTCGTACGCATCAAGTAAAATGAATCTAAATTTAAACAGTGTATCTGTGATACTCCTCTACTTTGAATATTAACATTATCATAAAATGTATAAATTCTTTTTGCCATTGCTTCTTTGCCTCATCTTTATTTTGGGCATTTATTCATACTGAAATATGTTGATACAGATCAATTATATTAATGGCTATATGCAGACTGACCAGACTGACTATGCTTATATGCTAACTTATTTAGTCCCCTGCAGATGGGAATTTTAGTTCATTCTCAACTTTTCACAATTAATAACAAGGTTAAAATAAATGCTTTTTTGTGCCCAAGGATGAAGCTCTTTAGATTATACAACTAAGAATAAAATTACTGGGTCATAATATGTGTACATCTTCAGCTTTATTAGATATGACCTAATTGCTTTCCAATTTTATACTCTGCACCTTCATACTGCTACACAAAGCAGTATAGAAAGAATGAAAGAATGCCCATTAGTCCTTTAAGGTCTTTTTTAAACATTTAATTAATCAATTTCGTGTGTATATGTATGGGTATATGAGTGTCATACTGCACATATAGAAGATGGAAGATTACGACGGGTATCAGTTCTCCTCTTCCACCAACATGTGGATCTGAGGTTCAAACTCAGGTCATGAGACTTAGTGGCAAGTGGCCTTACCTGCTGGGCCATCTTGTCAGCCTTTAAGTTTTGCAGTCTGATGAGTGTGAAATGATATCCTCTTTTTACATTTTTTTCTTCATTAACTGATAAATTTGAACATCTTCTCAGTTCTCTCTCTCTTTCACACACACACACACACACACACACACACTTTGTGGTGCTGTGGATCCTACAGAGGGCTCATGCATGTCCCTTCATATATTTATCGACGCTCTGATTTTCTTTTTTGTGAGATCATATTTTTTGTCTGCCTCTCTATCAGGTTAGTTATCTCTTCTTTGTTTATCTCTCTTGCTCTACACATATTCACAGTCTAGATTCTAACCCTTTTGTTCACTATTAGACCTAGCTATTTCTGTCACTCATTGCAAAATTTATTCCCTGTGCCTATTCACCAGAACTTCTGCAAAAATGTTTGTCTTTTCATCTGAAAAAGCCTGTCTCAAAGTGTCATTTCCATGTGACAGAATATTTTAACTTTCACACCATCTCCACCCAAAGCTCATTTATTAATAACTAGCATTCGCAGCACGTGTAACATGGAGGCCCTTAATGTGAGGAGATCACGTTTGCCCTGTTCTAAAATTCCAGAGAGAGAGCAGCAGCCAGGAATTGAAAAAGGAATGGGATCACTTAACCCCAGCTCACAAATATCTACAGCAGACTTGACTCGGACTGATGCAGTTGATATGTCTAGCCTTACTCAGCCGGCCAATTACCCAGAATCTCCTTCAGCTGTGGCTGGAATTTTAATAAGGGCAGGTGTTAGGAAATGAAGGAAGATGAAAGAAGACAAGGGAGAGAGAGAATAGGATAACAACAACAACAAAAAAAAGGGTGACAGAGAGAACAGGCACACGGATACATGGATTATAGGGCGAGGGATTGACTAGGAAAGAAGACCAGACTGAACAAACGAAGACTACCACCCTCAAGGGGAACTCACAGAAGGAAACCTAAGACAGACTTATAATTGGCTTGGGGGAAGGGTACAATGGTAACAGCCCTTGTTCACTGGCTTTTGCTAAGACCAGAGAAGCTGTCCCTTCCCGACCACGTTTCTACTCACTACTGACCCATCTATTCATACCTGACAACTCTGCTGCGTGCCCGTCTGCATCTCCATATTCAAACTCCAGAGTGGGGCAGTCCACAGAGCCCTACAATACAGAAAGTTTTCCGGTAATGGGAAAAGAGGTTGTCAAAGAAGGAATGTGACTCATTTTCACCTTTGTCCCATCTTGGAGGCCAAGGTCAGATCAGAGAGTCATCTACAAAGTCCTATTGGCCCTTTCATCTGAGAGGCAACCTTCCCTTTCAAGCCAAAATCTGAGGCCCAGTTTAGGGAAGGGCTGGGGATTGCTATCCAGTATCAGAAAGTCTAGCTAAAGGACAGGACTATAAACAACAATGAAAGCTGTCATTTAAAGCAGGGCATGGTAGCATGTGCCTATGACGCTCCATTCTGGAGGCAGAAGCAGGAGGATCCATGCCTGATGTCAGCCTGGGCTACATAGTGAAATATGGTCACCTCCCCCTCCCCAAAAAAAAACCCCAACAACAACAAAACCCAAGGGAGCCGGGATGTTGCTAGTTGGTAGAATGCACCAAGTTTGATGTCCAGTATCCCATAAACAGGGTGTGGTGGCTACACCTGCAGTCCCATCACTCAGCTATGTGGTGAGTTTGAGGCCAGGCTGGACTATATAAGACTTTGCCTCACAAAACCATAACCAACTAAACAAACAAAAAGAAAGCAATGACCTGAGCTTATATATAATGTACATGAAACAGGGGCAAAAGGAACATCTAGCTCATGTCTAAGAAAAAAGATAGGCAAAAACCGCAAGAAAGGGGAGAACTCAATTCTGGCTCAAGTTCTGTCTCATGCTGAAGGTTTCTCACACACCAAAATAAATAAATAAATAAATAAATAAATAAATAAATAAATAAATGGGAGTTCTAACATCTAATTACCCAGAGTTAGTGTAAAGAAAGTAGTATCAAATAATACATTTCCTATGATGTTGTATGTATAATCCATTTAAAAATATTTATATTTTAAAACCCTCACCCTCTAACCTCTTAAGATTTTTATGAGTATTTTTTAGTATATTTTTTATATGAACTCTATTTATTTAGACAATGCTGGGATTAAGGACATATGTGTTGCTGGGTATTAAACCTAGGGCTTTGTACATGCTAAGCAGGTACCTTATTAAATGTGCTACATCCCTAGATATTTTCATTCTTTGTTTCTTTGAGACAGGGTCTAATTTTATAGGCCAGGATGCCCCAGAACTCACTATATAATCCAGACTGGCTTTGAACTCAAAGGACATCCTTCGGCCTCAGCCTTCCAAATGTAGGATTTCAGTCAAGAGTCACTGTGTGAATCTTTGAAATTCTGGATCATGTATATGTGATCATGGCTAAGTTTGCTTCTCTGTGCCTCAGCATAGTATAAAGTAAACATCTGGTCTTTGCCCTTGGTTACTAGCACAGTGTTCCTAAAATCCTTAGAACATTCTAAGGAGCCCATTCACTATACCAGAATTAATGTTACTGATAACTCTTGGCCCTACTAGAAAACTTAAGCACACTTTGAAGCTAATAAGCATTGATCTTATGATGGTGGGGTGCAGACCATAGAGTGAGCTCAGTTTCATGGCCAGTTGATTAACTGATCCTTACCCTGGTTCATATGAAAATCCTAGACAGGGTTAAGAAGCTAATTTGGTCAGTCAGTACAGTGCTTGCTATGCAAGCATGAGTGCTGCCAGTCCTTAGAACCCATGACTACATGTTTGTGACCCCAGTGCTAGGGCAGGTATCCTGGCCAGCTTAGGCTAGTTCCTCACCAGTGGAAGACTGTCTCAAAAACCAAGGAATGACACCCGAGATTAACCCCCGGCCTTCACACACATGCACACATCCAACTGCATAGAAAGAAAGAGAGGTGTGTGTGGAGCATCCCTGAAACAGTGACTTGCAGTTTGGCATTGATGGAAAAGATGTTGACCCTGAGAGAAGGTATAGAATCTCAAGCCAAGCCCCTATTTTGTCTTAGGGATCTCTTCTATTTCTGATTTTATTTAAAAATTAGAATCTTAAATATATATATATCCCGAGTTCAGTCATTCTAGTTCAGTCATGCAAACCTGAGTTTTCAGTTTGTCAAGAAGAAATGCATACAATCTAGGAATCTCACTTGTGGCTGGCATCTGAAGTGGGGGCAATATATTGTGTATGCAGTAATCCTGGGAAATGAGTGTCAGAACTGAATTCACCTGTAGGACATTTGGTTGGCATCAGTAATTATTGTTGGAAAATGCTCAGGTTTCTCATCCATAAAACGAGGATAATAATACTTTCTTCAGATGGCTATTGTAAGGACTAATGAGTTAAGTACAAGAAAGGCCCTGAGCATATGGCTCTCTTGATTTGTGCCAGTTGTAATTCTCTCCTAGCAATTTTTTTCAGACGCTCTAGAAAACTATCTTCTCTAAGGACTGCCCTCTACTGGAAAGCTAAGAGGGAAGGAAATGCAGAGCTGGGCACTGCAAAGATGATAGGGGACATACTGGAAGGTGGGTGGGTGGGGACTAATTTTTCCAGCAAGGCTTTCTGGAGGCAGTGAGCCCAGACAGACAATTACAGCAGCCATTCACTTCCAAGCATGAAAAATGCAGCTGCAGAAATTCAGCAGGTAAACAGCAGTGCCTGGAAAACTCTGGGTATGGACAGTGAACTCACTGGCAAAAGCGAAGTACTATGAGAGCCTTTTCCTGAAGAAAGCTGTGGTGGGTGAGGATCATTATGTATTTCAGAAGGGTGATCCAACAAGCCCTCCACAGCCACTTATTTGCACACCATCCGTCTCCCCACCCTTCCTATGTGAGCTATAGAAGGACAAAGATTCTGCCTTATTCACTGACATAGCATTAGCACCTAATAACTTCATTGTTATCTCCGGAAGATATTTGATCAAGAACAATGTTCACTTCCTCTGCTTTGTGCAGCCAAGGTATGAGCAGCTTTCCCCCACCATGCCCTCCCCACCATGAAAGACCTCTGAAACCACGAGCCAAAATAAACCGTTTTCTTCCACTGAAGCAAACAAACAAAGTCTCTCTTTGGGAAGGAGGTACAAGGTGGTGACTTTGGGGGCAATCCCCCCCCTGTTTTTACCTTTTATAAAACAGGAGCTGGCGGGAGGGTGAAAGGTCAGTGGTAGTACATGCTTAGGTTTGTGAGCCCTTGGGCTCCATCTCTGTACAACAAATAACCAAACAGACAAATAAATCGCTTTGGAAACTGCAAAGTAGTATTCAAACAGACCACCGTGGACTTGATTTGTAGGACCCCCTCCCTCTGCCACTTAATGAGAATGATGAGTTATAAGTTAATTACATTACATGAGCTGTGCTGAACACTTTAAGTTCAATTATTTATTGTGTCAATCCCATTTTACAGACAAAGAAACTGCAGCTCAGATAGGTTAGGTAATTTGCCCAAAGCCACACAAACAATAAATGGTAGTGCTTAAATAAATAAATAAACAAACAAACAAACAAACAAAAAACACTGGCCTGACAGAAACTGAACTTAGTGGTCTTGGCCATTTGTTTTACCATGTGTCTGATCTCAAGAAGGCAAGCTTTATCTCTTTTACCCTCCAGTTGATCCCTCCCTCGGGCTCTTTGGGGTGCTGGGGATCAAATTCAGCACTTTGAGCATGCAAGGCAAGTACACCATCACTGGGCCACATCCCCCAGCCCTGTGTCTTTTGCGTAGTAAAATGAAAGGGTTAGGCTCACTTTGGCGGCACACACTGTAACCTGGCACGTGGGAAATGGAAGCAGGACGATCAGAAAGAGTTCAAGGCTCTCCTCAGCTTGAACGCAGGGCGTTCAAGCCCAGCTAGGGCTAATGCAACCCTGTTGTTGGTGGCTTTTGTCCTGAGTGTGTGTGTGTGTGTGTGTGTGTGTGTGTGTGTGTGTGTGTGTGTGTGTGGCGTGGGGGGGTAATAATTCAGTCCTTTCATTGTCCTAGTTAGATTTTTTTTTTTTTTTTAATTTAGAGGCGGGAGATACCCAAATGGTCAACCCCCTTGGGGCAGCTGCACCCAAATGCCGCTCTGGTCCTACCCCAGCTTGAATCGCGTCTCTTTGAACCCCCCAGACAGGGGCGGGGTGTCGGTGGAAGGCGCTCCCTAGGCCACCTCCTCCATCATCCCGAGTGCAGGGGGTAGCACGGGAAAGCAGGTGCTCCGGGCCGGTGTGGTCCGGTCCAGAGCCAGTTGCTGCAGTCTGGAGTGGGAGGTGTGCCGCTCGCCTGCCCACCCTTGCCTCCCGCGGCCGAGCTGGGGCTCCCACCCCTCCGGCCAGCCGGTCCCAGCACCTCAGCGCGCTGGTTCCCCATCGGCAAACAGGGGTCCGAATTCCGGCTCCACCCGGCGGCAGCTACTAAGTGTCTGCAAAGTATCCGCTACGCTCTTCGCGCGGGTCAGGGGAACCGCAGGCAACAGGGCGAGAGAGGGACGGGGCTGCGGGCGGGCCGCGGCACCTCAACCGCCGGCGGGCGTCCCCGGGTTCCTCACCTCCGACTCCCGCCGCTGGCTGCGGAACGCTTCCCGGCCCTTGGGCGCCCCCGGCTTCCCCTTGCCGTTGCCGTTGCCGTTGTCACTGGCGGGCGAGCCGGCGGGCCCGGGCGCCGCGGGGTCATCCATGCTGGGCCGGCTCGCTTTAGCAAGCAGCTCGCTTCAGCTGTTCCCTGCAGCTGCAGCTGCAGCAGCAGCAGCAGCAGCAGCAGCAGCTCGGCGATCTCTGCCCGGGGCGACCCCAGCACAGCGCGCGCCCGGAGGCAGGCCCCGCCCCTCCGCTCCTATTGGCTGTGACTGCTCCCTGCGACCCCGCCTCCGGTGTTGCTATTGGCTGATAAGCCAGTCAGAGGCGGGGACTCTTTCAAGGAACATTTCCACCCCCTCGCACCCCGGCTTTCGCTGCGCTGCTGCTGGCAGCCTGGGACCGGTCGGCCGGCTTCTCCTCCACCTCTCGCCTTGAGGTCCCGGAGCCCAGGAGGCTCAGCTCCGCGCTGCCTTGCTCCTTTCAGGCTGTCCTGTCCCACTTAGCGGCCTTTCCCTGCGAGCCCTAGTCTCCGCCCCTGTCACACCGCGTTGCCACCGACCCGGACCCCCAATCCCAGCTGCTGCACGCCTCCCGTATCCCGCTTTGTCGCAGAGGAGGGCTTGTCCCTTTGGGATAGCCTGAGCCACCGCACCACAAACTTAGCCTCTCGGGAAGCTTTCTGAAGAGAGCTGTTGGCAGGGAGAATGGGAGTCGCGGGGAGGGGACTCACTGAGATCCCCGACGCCCTCGAGGGGCTGGCTGCTCCCTGTCATCTGGCCCCGCACGTGGGCACCCTTTTCGTGGTGCTCTTGCCTTCCCCTCAGTGCGTAAAGGCACTTGCTTCTAGTCTAAGCCTAAGGTCTTGAGTTCGATCCCCGGGGCCCCACATGGTGGAAGGAGAAAAGGGACTGCCGAAAATTGTTCTCTGACCTCCACAAGTACTCCGCCGGTTCCTCCCCCACTCCCACATATACAAACAATAAATACTACAATTAAAAAGGAAAGAGAAACAAAACAAAACACCAAAACCAAACAAACAAACAAAAACTAAGAGCTCAAGGTAACCGGGCAGTTGAAGGCTGTGGGTTCTGCCCTCTCCTGAATTAGACGGGCAGATCTGGCTTGACAATGGCTGAGGGGAAGGAGAGGGGACCAAATCGCTCTCCTAACCTGTTGCCTTGGGAAGACGGGGGCGGGGTGGTGGTGGGTGGAGGGGGTGGTGGTGGGTGGAGGGGTGGTGGTGGGTGGAGGGGTGGTGGTGGTGGAGGGGTGGTGGTGGGTGGAGGGGTGGTGGTGGTGGAGGGGTCATTGAGTTGGGGGCTGTACCAAGCTCCTCACTACATGTTTTTCAAGTACCACACCTGTTTCTCACAGGTTATTTACACGAATCCGGTTTTTACTAATGAGGAAACTCGTAAGCGCAGAGAACGGCCTGGGATTCCCAAAGTATTATTTATATATTGCGTCTTGTCTCAGTGTAGTGAGTATGCTGCTGCTATGGAAGAACCCCGTTTTCATGGTTTACTACAGCACTGGCCTCAGTTGCTGCGCTAAAACACTGCGGCCAAAAGCAACTTGGGTAGGAGAGGATTTATTCCATCTGACAGCTTAGAGTCCATTACTGAGGGGAGCCAGGGCAGGAGTTGAAGCAGAAGCCATAGAGGGATGCTGCTTACTGGCTTGTGTCTCACAGCTTCCTCAGCCTGCCTTTTTATACAACCTAGGACCACTTGCTCAGTGCTGTCCGTGAGTCAGCCCCTCCCACAGCAACCATCAATCAAGAAAAGCTTGCCCACAGGTCAGCCTGCTGGGACTTTTTCTCAATTGAAGTTCTATCTTCCAAAATGACTGTAGTTTATGTCAAGCTCACATAAAACTAGCTAGCACAGCTACTGCTCTTTAGGATCCTATTTATGACCATTTTTTCTCTAGACTTTTTTTTTTTTTTGGAGCCTCCTTACTTCATTCAGGCATGTTGCTGTCAAACAAACTTTGCTGGGATCCCAAACTGTGGTATTTTTCTTCTCCTTAGACAATGCTATTATCCCTCCTTTTCTATGTCTTAGGGACATGGTCTCATAGCATAGCCCAGGATAGCCTGAAACGATGTAGTCAAGCTTAGCCTCTAATGCTTGGTCACCCTGCTACATCCTCTTGAGTACCAGGATGACAGACATGAGACACCATACACATCTCCATCCCATTCTGCCTGTGCGTGTATCTATGCACCACATGCCTTCCTGGTACCCATGGAGGTGAGAGGAGACAGATCTCCTGGCACTGGAGTTACAAATAGTTGGGAGCTACCATCTTGACCCTAAGAATTGAACTCAGGTCTTCTGCAAGAACACCCTGTGCTCTTAAAGCCAGTGTGCCTCCTCACAATGCTTTCTCCCTTAGCTTTGTTGGTAAGATGGCAGGGAAAGAGGGAGCACTTCATTCCTTAGAAATTTCTGGATACTTTTTTGGTCCCCAATATCTCACCAATCTTCTATTCTCAAGCCTACTCCACTGTGGATGGAGCTAATTTGGAGGGCCAACCTTGTGGGGGTTTTTGTTGTTTTTTGTTTTTGTTTTGTTTTTTGTTGTTGTTGTTGTTTTTGGAGTTAAGGTCTCATGTAGCTCAGGCTGGTTTCAAACATGGTTTAACTGAGGATGACCTTGAACTCTTGATCTTCCTGTCCTCAAAGTGCTGGGATTGCAGATGTGCACCACATCTGGTTCTTCATTAGCTTTTGCACACCACATTTCTGTATGTTCAACACAGGGGTTCACAATCCATGTGCTACTGGCATTTTGTACAGAAAAAAGCATTTGTTATGGGAGAGTGTCACATACATTTTAAGCTTTTCAGCAGAACTTTTGGCTGCCCCTGAAATATGCCAGGTGCACTTTTCCCTTAGTTATGACAACCAAAAATCTCTTTAAACATTGCAATATGTCCCCTGGGGAGCAAAATCTCCTTTTGCAATACCTTGGCTTTGCAAATAAATTCATGTGAATTTCCAAGAAAATCTTTGGCTCAAGGTACAAAGTATTTGATTTTGGAATTTTTTTTAGAGCATAATTTGTTAAACTCTTTAAAATGTACAATCTACATTAAGATTCACAACCCACGCCTGCTAGTTTATCCCTGCTTTAGTGTGACAGACTTGCCACAGCACAGCCCATTGGCTTACTAAAAAGAATTCATTATCTACCTCTCCTGTACCTCTTCTCTTAAGCAGCCAGAGCTCTCGGACTGACAGTCCCAGAAATGTTTCTCCTGTGAGCCCTGGCAATTGGTAAAATCCTCACAGACACTAGTTTTGAGGCTTTCTTCCTTTTTCTGCTTATTCCCAAGGCAAAGGGCAAAGACTGATCTATTGGGAGTGGGATTGAGGAGGCCTCCTCTGGCTTCATCTAAAACAACTGCTGACCTCCATCTTGGCTTTGCTTTCAGAGATGGGACTTGCAAATTTGAAGACTGCAAAGAATCAGAAGGTGATTTCTCCAAGTGGATTGGAAAACAGTAAAGATCACATATCTATCTACTCAGTACAAGCCCAGTCAGATGTTCAGAACTTGTCATGACGTGTCCAGAGAAAAACTGGATGAAGCCACAAGAAACTTCAATCATCTGAAAAACTTTAAAACCGTAGGCCATTCGGCTTATTTGTTCACAAATGAGTGACAATCACAAATACCAATGGCCACAGAGGCACCCAGCAGTTTACCTGGGAGACCATTTGTCAGGCCGGTCTATGTCTCTTTCCACTTGCTGAGATGTTGCCAGTCTTTTAAACTCTGTACATGCAGGGCTAGAAATGGCTCGGTGGTTAAGAGGGCTCACTGCTCTTCCAGAGGACCCGAGTTCAGTTGTTTCCAGCACCCACACCAGGTGGCTCACAACTGCCTGTAGGTCACTGGCTTCCACAGGCACCAGCACTCACACTCACATACCCACACAGATCCAGAATTAAAAATAAAATCCTAAAAAAAAAAAAAAGAAAAAAAGAAAAAGAAAAACCCGGAACACACACAATATACTACCAAGTTCTCTTGTCCCAAGGCTTTATTTCCAAACTGGGGCTTCTAACAGAGGGTTGATGGTACAAAGATGAATAATTAGAGATAAAACATTTAAGCACTCTAATTCACAAAAGCAAAATACTTCGTTAAATAGATAGTAAGTACCTGGCCCTAACACAGCTTAAAAAATAAGATGCAGGAGGTCTTCAATTCCCTTATTTCTGGTGGGTTACTAGACAGACAGGATGATAAAGAGCACATTTGGCACAGGATGCAACAGAGGCTGTGGGGCCCTAGTCTGGGACCCAGAACTGGAGGTTATGAAGTAACCAGTATGTGCCAGTGTCTTTAAGCAGTGTCCCCCCTTTTTGTTTTTGCCTGTGTCTGTGCATCATGTGCACGCAGTGCCTGTAGAGGGCGTTGGATCATCAGGAGCTGGAGTTACAGACGCTTGTGAGCCAGCATATGGGTGCTGGGAATTGAACTTGAGTCCTCTGGAAGAGCAGCCAGTGCTCTTAACCATGGAGTTATTTCTCCAGGCCTACTTTAAACAGTATTTTTTATACATCAGGCTAATAAAACTTGAACATAAAGCATTACAGTTTATAAGCAAGTAAATTATAAGAAAATTACCCCCCCCCCATAACAAGCTTACAAATAGTTGAGAAAGAACAGGCAACCGTTCTTACTCTAGTTTCTAATTTAGAGATAAAACTCTTCCTGGTCCCCCGCCCCCTTTGGCTGGATACAGTCAGATTCCGGGCATTTAGATTTTTTGGTCCCAACATAAGGGCAGCACAGTGATGGGAGATGTCATTCTGTAAATATGTTTCTCTTATTGGCTAATGAATAAAGCACTGTTGGCAAATAGGAAAGAAAGATAGGTGGAACTAGGAGACAAGGAGGATTCTGGGAGATGTAGTAGAGGAGAGTCAAGATGTAGACACGAGAGGAAGAGGTCCGGATCCTCTCTCCGGTAAGATAAGACCACGTGGAAACACTTAGATTGATAGAAATGGGTTAATATTTAAGACAGAGCTAGCCAACAAGAAACGCTAGTAACTGGCCAACAGTGTTATATCCAATACAGTGTCTGTGTGTTATTTGGGGCTGACACGGCTCTGGGACCCGGCTGGCGGGTAAACTGCTGGTAACAGCACAGTGGTATTGGTGACCTAGATCCATGCTTTATTTATTTATTTTTTTAAAATGGTAACTGACCTCACAGTCCTTATCTCAAGAAGGTGGTGGTTCTGAGAAGGTGTGTGTCAAGGTTGGGTGGTGGGGGAGGGACAAGGTACTCATTAGCAGGGTCTCAGTGTAAAACAATCTCAGGGCAATGGTCACTCAAACATGGCTGCTGGTGGTGGCATCAGCTGTTTACACCTTTGTGTATGGCAGATAACCTTGCACGTCTGCTGCCCAGATACCTCTCATCTCTGAGTTCCTAGTTCACAGAAGCAAGTGGTATTCTCAGGACACAGATCAGTTTTAAGAATTTTTTATTTATTTTTTTTGAGATTACATAGTCATTATTGCTGATCTAATACAATCACTTAGACATAAAATTTCCAAGAGCTTCTCAGAACTGGTGATCCTTAGAGGTCTTGTTCCTTTCAGTAAGGTGACAGGAAGAACTAGATGATTATTTATATATATATGTATATATATATGTGTATATATATAGTTTAGGCTTGTCAATATATAATTTGCTGGTGTTACCTATTTTCTTTCCATAATTTTCCTTTATTAAAAAAGCTTAATGCAATAATGCATTCTGATTTTTTTTTTTAAACCATGACAAAGTTAATTCTGAGGAAACCACAGGAGCAGCAATTTCAGATCTGTTCAGAGAAAAGCCAAGCAGCAAAGAAAAGCTTTGCAGGAGTGTGTGGCATGGGAGCGTGCTCTCATGGGAAGGGCACATGAGGAGGGAGAGGAGGGCAGAGGGAAGGTGGCCCAGAGGAATTTTAACAAGAAAAAGGAAACAATGTTTCCACCAAGAAAGCAAGAAGACCGTGAAGAAGTAGCACACATTTCGTTGTAGATGAGAGGTATGTGTCCCCATCAGCCAGGGCCACATACCTAGAGATAATCAGCCTTCTTCTTACCTCCTGGTAGCTAGGATGCATCTAAGAGGAAGTGTTGGAATAAGAAGAGATGTTCTCTGATTCCAAAGTTAGAGGGAGCAATGATTTGGTTCTAACAGGACCAAAATTAGACAGGAGTCCTGGGCTACCTTCTGTCTTTATTCCACATTCCCCACAAGCCCCTGGACTGGGGATTTGACCCGGGGGCTGGGTACACCGTAGCTAATCAAGTGTCCTGCCACTGACTTACATCCCTACTTCTGGTTGCTTTCTTAATGGTTGATGACACAGCAGTCTCCAGAGAGAAGGGAATAGATACCGCCTGCAACTCATAGTCAAATACCTCACCGCGGCCAGACACAGTGCAACCCACCTTAGAGACCCAAGTGGCTCCCTTCCTATTTCCAATGGGTCTCTTCACCATGGTTTGACAGAGTGTACTCTGTAAGTACCACACATAGGAAGCTCTGTAGAGAGCAAGGCTTTGCTGAAAACCAGCAGGTTAGGACTTGAGGCCCATGTATATAAAAAATTAGAGTCCAGATACCTGCCTAATGGAATCCGCCCTGGACATAAGATGAGGCACAGATATCTGAATCTTTTGCTAAAGAGACCCAATTAAGAGCTAGCTAGGCATGGTAGCACACACCTCAGGAGGCCACGGCAGGAGGATCGCCGTAGGTTTGAGGCCAGCAAGGGTTACAGAGTGAGACTATTTTAAAACAACAACAAACCCCAACGACAATAAAACAGAGATGGTAGTGGGAGAGTGATACGATAAGCTATTAATACGAAAGTCAGAATGAGGCAAACAGAACTGAGTATCTTTGTGGCCTCTTTAGCCTCTATGGTCTTCGGCATAAAAGAGAATATAGCCACAGATGATGCCCTGTGAAGAATTCATTTTCTGGGCTGAGCCTGAATACCATCTAATACGGCAAAGGTCTGTTTCCCTATCTTCAAGAACAAGGACACCACTCCCAGGCTAGCTCCCAGGGCATCTGAAAAGGCCAAGTAGAGATGGGGGAGACAGGGCGTGAATCCATGTGTCTTCTGTTTGAATGACCTTGGTCTTGAGACTTTGAAGCACAACAATATAAGAAATACACAGGAAACAAACATGAGGCTTTAAAGTAGGATGGGCCATGAGAGGAACTCATTTAACTCAGGACTCCAAGGGCCACACAGGTTTTAATTTTTGAAAACAATCGATCCCAATGGAAACCTTGAAACCAGTCAGTTCGTCTCCAAAGGAAATCTAAATCTTGGGTGGAACGAGAAATTTCACATTGTTTACATTACTAGCTCTTTTATAATGATGGAGTTACTTAAGTCACTCCCTGAAATAGAATCCCTAAACAGAGGGGGCCAGAGCATAAAGATACAGCAGCAGCAGCAGCAGCAGAGAAAGATGAGATACGGGACTGCAGATCTCACTTTTCCCTAGAGCAACAGCCAAAGGCGCAAATGCCTGATGAGGCTCAAACTAGTTCCCATCCCCTTCCCTAGTACCCAGTGACTGAGCCTAGGGCCTTATACATGCCAGGCACCTGCTTCACCACTAGGCTATACCCCCGGCCCTCACACTGCTTTTCATCATGTGGATACAGATGACAGAGTCACCTGTCTTTTGCAGGCAGGCCATGACGTCTGTCCTGGAAAACAGACTTGCTTCTTCAGGATGTCAAGCAGGATCCCCTCCAAAGTCTCAAGCTTCCAAATCTCTAGCAAACATCTTTGCCAGCTCAGTTCCAGAAGAAGTTTCAGGAAACACTATCCACATGAAGCTCTCTTTTTCTGAGACAGTGTCAGTCTAGAGGGGACTTCCTAGAAAACGGCCCAGTTAAATGACAAGGAAGCAGAACTATGGGTCCCAGTGGAACTGGTCCCCTACTTCCTGAGCAGAGTTTAGTGGGGTTAGAGAGCAAAACAAATGCCTGGCCAACACCAGAGGTATTAAGATCACGGAGGCACACCCCTCTTGGAACCGGGAAGCATTAAAACGAACATAATATTCAAGGAACAGAAAGGAGTCCTGGGTAAGAAGAGAGAGCCCAGTAGGCACAGACACAGGCACAGCTGAGTTCTTGGTGTAGCTTACAAGACCTTACATAACACTCCGAACCTCACTAGCCTTTTTATATAAAGAAGGCAGTGACAGGAACTTTCAAGACCAAGAATCCAGGCCCTGTTAAGTCAGTGGCTTCCAAAAAGGCCTCACCTGGGGAAAGGACCAAAGCTTTGAGAAAGGCAGCTGCTGAAAATGTATTCCAGAAAACCCTAAGTAACAAGGAGTCTGGCATCCCTGAACTAACTCCTGAGCCTGGAAAGAAAAATGGCCATCATTGAGGATTCCATCAACGGGCAACGACGTGAATGATGCACTTGGAACGATTATTGCCCATTTCTTTTCTTCCTCAGCCTGTCTTCTGTGGCTCTCAGGGCCCCAGGAGTAGTAACCACACTCTGGGCCAAGGCTACAGGCACAGGATTCTAGATTTTAATAAATAAATAACCTAACACATAGGATGAGCACGGCGGGCAGCTCTGGTTGGAGAAGCAGCTTGTTGGGTTCTTCCTTGGATAGTAGTGGAGAAAAGGCTTGGTTCTTCTATTCCTTAAAACGCCTTCTGTCTTGCATTACAGGAACTTAATACCTGGAGGGAAAAAGAAAGATGAGCTGATGCTATCAGCTGGCAGCCCACAGGTGAACAGGGAGACAGGGCTTTTCTAGTGTATATGCTGAGGATAGATAACCGTGGCTCCTTTCACGTCAGTGAAAAAGGCCATGGACCAGCAAGAAGGCTCACTGGATAGAAGCACCTGCCACCAAGCTTCCGTCTCCCAGGACTCACACGGCAGGAAAACTTACTCCCATAGGTTGACCTCTGACCTCCACATGTGTAATATGTGCACATGCACCCTCCTCCACACACACATAAACACACACTCACAACATAAAGAAGGGGAAAAAATGTAATTTTAAAAGGCTAGCATGTGCATGGGGGCAGACGATGGCGATGTTTAAAGAAGATCTCAGAGTATTTTGAGGCGGGAGACCTGGAGGAAATGCGCCATTTTTCTGAGTTCATATAAAGGTATGTGTGGGAGTTCAAGGGATGGCTGGACTGCCCAAAGCTCTTCACTGCCCAGCCTTCTCTGCTTTCTGCAGTAATTAGGCACCTGTAGTAATTAGGCTTGAAGGGCCCATTCTTGTTGAGTCCCAGATACTTGGCCTGTTCGTCTGTCAGCTCTGTCAGGTGGGCATCAAAGGTGGGCAGGTGTAGGCTTGCCACATACTCATCTGCAAAGACCACAGAAGTCATGGGATAAGCATTCATGTCTCCTATCTGGCTGATTTCCTTAAGCTAGGCCTTAAAAAGTTGGAAAACAAGGTCTAGTTCCTGGAGATGATTGGGAAATGCTTGACTTTGGCTTATACGCCCTCAAATCTAAGGAGTGACTCCCTCAGCTTCCAGTCCAGTGACTTTAACAGCCAAATATTTCTTTCAGTAACTCCATCTACCCTGAAGCTTTTCCCTCAGAAAAGAAATGAGAGGAATAACGGGAACAGAATGGACCTTGAAAATGGGAAGCTTCACCTTTAGTTTTGTCTTGATGTCTATATTACACTATGAAAATACTAGAAATACTATACTATACATTCCAGAAAAATTAACATCCAAGTGAACTGGGGAAGAATACCTAAAAACAAACAAAAACAAACAAACAAAAAACCTGGACCTGTGTAATTTGCCTTAGTAATTTTACAACCTTTGTATCACTGTTTTTTTCAGCTTCATTATATATCCAAAGAGATAAACTGCTCTATTCATTCCATACCCTTCCAAACTGTGGTAGCTTTGTTTTGTTTTGTTTGAGACAGTGTTTCTGTGTAGTCCTGGCTGTCCTGGAACTTGCTCTGTAGACCAGGCTGTCTCAAACTCATAGAGATCTGCCTGTCTCTGCCTCCTGAGAGCTGGCATTAAAGGCCTGTGCTACCACCTTAGATCCATTCAAACTGTACTAAGGGGAAATACGGCAACTTATAAAAGTGGACGGAGCAGAGCCAGAAGCTGACTTATTCCCTGAGCTTATGTCACCTAGGTGCTTGGGACAGGCTTTTTAAAAATTTAAGACAGTTTAATGTTTCTATTATACCAATCACCTACATAACTAACTCTCTCTTTCTTTTTTCTTGAGACAGGGTTTCTCTGTGTAACATCTTTAGCTGTCCTGGAACTCATTCTGTGGACCAGGCTGGCCTTGAACTCACACAGATCCACCTGTTCCTGCCTCTTGAGTGCTGGCCACCCCCTGACCATAATTAACTCTTAACAGGAACCTGTATCCCTTAAAAGAAGGGGCTATTTATCATCTTAGAACTGGAATAAGTCAGATATCACAAGGCTGGAGATATTTTCTTTTGGAAAGAATAGTTTCCTCCTCCTTTGAGATTTTTACGTACATGATACTTTAAAAGAGAAAATCTTTAAAATTTAATTGGTAGGCCAGGAATCCTAGATAGAAAACAGGAGTGAGTTCAATGCCAGCCTTGGCTACATTGTGAGACCCTGTCTCTCAACATACAACATACATGCAATGCAATAGGGCATAATAAAATAATTCTCAGGCAGGTATTCTAAATCGCAGCAAAATGCAAGAACTCTCTAGAAAAACCTATGTGGAGAATCACACAAGTCACCTCGGAATAGAATAACCTCGACTCCTAGTTCCTGTTTTATAAGGTAAAGATGTTTTCTTCCCCTACCCCCCCCCCCCACAGGAAGTTAATGTCTCCAAGCTTCCTTCAGCTTCTGACGGATCACTGCTTTGGAGAGAATGGGGAAGGAGGAACAGCTTACCCATTTTCTTGGGCAGCAGGTACACATCTTGCTTATAGCGACCCTCAGGAGCATTGTAAAGTTCTATCAAGGCGAGAGCCTAGAAAAGCAGAGACGTGTACGCTGATGTGCTTTTCAAAGCCTCCACACCTGGCCTGTCTTAAGGATCCCCTCCAGCCCACTACTGTTCCACTGCAGAGCTTACCTGAGTGGTTGCAGTGATTGAGAGCACGAAGGTAGGCACTGTGGAGCAGCTTAGGTTCAGCAAACGGCCCTAGTGATCAAAAGTCAAGGCAAAGGGCATTAGGGCAGTTGCTGGCCTTTGAAGAGTGGAGGAAGGATGACTGCCAATTCCCACTTCTTCCCTGAGTTATGTCTAACTGAGATTGTTAGACATAGCAGGCACTCAACTCAAAGCAATGAACTGATATTCTTGTATTTTTTTTTTTTTTTTTTTTTTTTTTTTTTTGGAGAGAGGGTTTCTTTGTGTAGCTTTGGCTGTCCTAGAACTTGCTATGTTAACCAGGCTGGCCTCAAACTCACAGAGATCCACCTGCCTCTGCCTCTCAAGTGCTGGAATCAAAGGCGTGTGCCCCTGCCACCCAGCCTAAAATTCAGTTTTTAACAGATATAACAAAGCGAAAATTATGCATACTTATAGGGTTCCATGTAATGTTTCAAAGCAAGAGTACATGTATCTATTTCCTCAAACATTTATCATTTCTTTAAATCCTCTCTTCCAGCATCTTTAAATGTCAAGTTCACAATTGCTACCTATAGTTACAGTATGGTGATAGTATGCCCAAACTATTTACACCCTAGTTACCTGAAACTCAACATCCACTGATCAACGTGTCCGGACCCACCACCTCATAGCTCCAAGCTACCACTGTTTTTGTTTCTTGAGACAGGGACTCACTATGTAATCTCAGGCTGGCCTGTAACTCTCAATTCTCCTGCCTCAGCCTCCTGAATGTTGAGATAGCAGAAGTGTGCTAAAATGCTTGGTTTACAAAAGTTATTCTTCTCACACCTTCTATGAGAATAGGATACAAGGCTAATGAGAAAAATTTGGACATAAGGCTCATAAATCTCCTGAATAGAGCTATTCTGATTTACTTAGGAATTCTCTTGATTTATATTTATTTGCTATTATAAATAATGCTACATTTAACCTTTTTCTTTTCTTTTGGAGACAGTCTTACTATGTGGCCCAGGCTGGCCTAAAACTTACTTGTAAGCAAGGCTGATTTTGAACCCCTAACTCTCCAACTTCCATCGCCTAAGTGCTAAGATGACAGGCATGCACCAACACTTAAGCTTGCCCCGTAAGCAGTGTCCTTAGATCACACAGGTTTGAGATTACGCATGACTTGTCTTTCCGTGTCTGGCTGATTTCACTGGACATTGTCACAGTGACAAACGGCAGGAGTTTGTTTTTATGGTAGAACGGAATGCCTTGTGTGTATGTACCACATTTCCTTTAGTCGGCCCCACTTCTTGGCTGATGTGAACAGCCTGCAATGAAGATGGGAGTGTAGCTATTTGACAGAATGATTTTGTTTTCTTTAGACATGTAACAATAGGATTACTGGAACACAAAGTCATTCTGCTGTTAAGATGTTGAGAAGCTCATACTGTTTTTCATAATCTGTTATATCTTTTATCTCTCTGATAATGGTAATTCTTACCGGAGTAAGGCAATACATCATTGTGGGTTTATTTTCCATTTTCCTGATGATGAGTGATCCTGAACATTTCCCCCTTTGTCTGTTGGCTATTTCTATATCTTCTTTGGAATCAATTGATATTCAAATGAAAGCACTAAAAATTTGATAAATGCTTTACCTAAACTATTTCCAGGACTATATAAAAAGGAGTAAAATGCAGTCATCTGATACTGAGGATTGCATAAGTTAGTTTCTCATTCTCTATAGTAAATATCCTCCTTCTGAGGTTCGGCATTCCTTAGATTGACTATCCTAGGAAAGCAACCTCTCCAGGCTGAGGGGGAGATAAGTATGGATTTGGGAAGCTGTGATGATTTTTGTGCTTATTGGTTTTGTTTTCTTACTCAAAGGCAGGTAGCCTTGAATTCTGAGTGGACAAATGAAGACAGTAAAAGATCTAAAACCCGCCCCACGCTATCCTTTCTTGCTTTATTTCCTAGGAAGCCCGACTACTGATTTTGCTCAGCTACATAGCCCAAAAACACCTTTTGTGTCTGTTTTTATCACCAAAATTGCTATGGGGGACCTCCCAGGGCAGTTTAGAAATACTGCCAGACAGGGGGCTGATGTCAAAGCTATTAATAAACACTTAACAACTTGCTCTTCTCTTAACCATCCGCACGCCTTCCCAAACATGTCCTAAAGCATTTAAAGGCTGTTGACTGCGGGCAAAATGTTAAAGAGTAAGGACATATAAAGTTGGCCTATGTGTCCTTACATAAGGAGATGAAACTGTGTACATTTTCATACTCAGTTTCTTTAATGTAAGAAAGAAAACTGAAGGGAACCCAAACCCCTTGCTATTTGGGGCCTTCCCTTAAAAGAGACAGCTTCATGAAGAACATGGAACATTCCCAGCACCGAGGAACTCTGGGCTAAGAGGGCAGAGAGTTCGCTCCAGGAAATGTGGTCAGAAAATGACATAAAGGTTACAAGGGATGAAAGTCAAGACTAAGTGTGCGGGTCAGTGAAAATGCTCAGCAGGTAAAGGTACCTGCTGCCTGCCAACCTGACACCAGAGTTTGATACCCGAGACCCACAGGGTGGAGAGAACTGACTTCTGCAAGGTGTCCTCTGACTCTACAGGAGAAAGCACGCACATGAACAACACCCCCTCCCAAAAAAGGACTGGGGATATCGCCCGCTCTTGCTTAGCATGTGTGCATGTGGGAGGACTTGAGTTTAACTCCTAGCACAGGGAGGAAAAAGAGACGTGAGCTAGATGAAGTGCAGTGTGAAGCTATCCATCCAGCAACCCGTTAGCAGAATAAGCTGGGTACCCTGCTGTACATCTGGCTCAGTTCATCAGTTCAGAAGACACTAAAGTAGAGGCGCTATCAGCAAAGCCATGACTTTCCCAAAGCTTACCGAAGACAGTCTGATTAAACCACAGCCAGATTAAACCACCCCACAGATGACATTATCTCTCTGTGAGCATCACTCAAAGTGGCACTGATTCTATCTGCTAATTCCTTCCTCAGTAATAGTCATTATCTGACTCAACCTGCAGAGTGACATGGAGAGACAGGGTAATTGGTGAAAAGTAAGGAACCAAAATAGTTTCTTAATTGCTGAATGAAAAGACCTTTCACAGTCATAAGCAAAATCCACCGGTAAAGTAGTTAAACTTGTGCTTAAGAGGCAGAGTTGAAAGACTCAGGGGCATGGAGAGGAGGGAGCCAGGAACTGCAGCCTCTCCCATCAGTGGGGTAGCTTTTTGTCAGCCACAGTCTCACCTCTGCCAGCAGTACTATCCTCTTGCCATCAGGCCATATCACGTGGTCAACTTGGGATCTTACTCTCTCCCAGGTCAGTTCAGGTGTCCGCAGGCTCGCCTGGAACACATACAGGAAGAACGCCATTAGCCGCGGCAAGTCCCCGACACTGGAGACGGAAAGGTGTCGAAGGGAGCCATTTCAAATAGCAAGTCGAAAGAAGCAACCAACATGCCCGATGAATACCTGTCCTGGGGTGGTTAGGACTGTTCCATGTCAGGGAATTTAATCTTAGGCCCAGCCAGGGAGGGATCACTCGGGATGTCATTCCACAACATATACTGTACGCCCACTCTCTGCTGAGCACAGTAAAAGGTGCTATGGGAAATACAAAAGAAACCAAAGGCATGGTTTCTGCCTTCAAAAAACTCGTATTTTAGTTGGGGACACAATAGAATACTTATGTGAGAAGAAGATACAAAGCGGCATGCAAACAAGTGCAGATTAATATGGTGCAAACTGAACACATGAGTGCTGAAGAGACAGAAAGCAGCAGAAGATCAGAGCCAAGTGGGATTAGCTGGAGAAGGCTGAATGTCCTAACATCACATGCTGGCGAGCACGACTCTGCCCTCATGTCCCAATGTTCCGGTTGCACCTTCGCAAAAGGCTGGTTCATCCTAGAGTTACAGAAGCTCTCTGTGTCCTAAGTGCAAGTGTGAGGTAGCTTTAGAGGGATGCTAGTGGTAGAGTAAAGCGCCAAGGGCTCACCCTCTTTCCACTTCTGTACATTGTATATTCAGAGAACAAAAGAAAAGATGGTAAGGTTATTATCAGCAGCAATCAAATGACAGTCACAGGTGTGCAGACTTAGGACAACTACTTCCTTCTTCAATGTCTGAAAGAGAAAGGGTACCCATATTCCAAACTACCCCATCAACTCTTGTGGTAAAACTGAAAAGTTCTGGCAAATACTAGTCCTCAAACAAAGAGAAACATTTTTAGTTACATAGTAATTCTAGGCGCTGTGGCAAAGGACAAAGTGAACCATTTTTGCACAGAGACAGTTATCTTTTCATTTTAAACCTCCAAATTCTCTCTAGACATACAATGGGGTGCTCAATTAATGCCCAGAAAATCATGGTCCCCCTCTCTGAGGAAATGGCAATCTAATAGTGCAAAAGGACAGATAATTCTATTTTAGTGTAATCAGAGCTGCATTTATCCATGGTCAGGACCATCATTTCTTTATTAGGCACTCTGGAAATGTAAAATTTGAGACATAAATTTCAAAATTAATTCAGTCACTCTACACAGTAATTCGGCAACAACACCAAATGTTATAGATACCTGATTTTTATCAATGCATTTAATTTTTAGGCTCCTAAAACAAATACTTGTTCAAGTCAAGAATTTAAGTGCCTAAGAAAGTTTAGTCTAAGACAGGTGTAGTGGTATGTGCCCTTAATTTCAGCACTTGGGAGGGCAAGACAGGAGAATCAAGAGTCCAACGTCAGCCTGGGCTATAATAAAACTATGTCTCAATAAACAAAAGCAAAAACAAAGAAAAATGGTCATTCTAGCATTATTTATAATAGCAAATACATACAAACCAACAAGAGCATGACTAAGTAGATCAGCTCCAGTGGGTCTATGTAACACTTACATAAAAAAGAAAACAAGGAAGAAGAGGAAAAGGGAAAGAAACAGGAAGAGGAAACAGCAGTAATAATAATAGTGTTGGGGAGAGGGGAAGTGGGGGGGAGCTGGGATGAGGGAGGGAGGGAGGGAGGCTGAGGTTGGGATATACTATATGAGAATAATGAGAATGATAATAATAGTAATAATGATACCAACAACAATACCAACAACAATAATAGAGTTTGATATATAGCTTAGTGGTACTATTCTTGCTCAGCATGTATAAAACACTGGATTTGATCTCTAGCAACACATATTAAAAAATTATAAATAAATTATGGGAACAGAATTAAAAATCACTGAAGCAAGCAGACGACTGAAGAAGTTAAGGATATATATCAAATAAATCCTTTAGCCTTTGAAAACATCATGGAGAGGGGTATAACCACCTATGGCCAAGACATACAGCTCCGTGGTAACACAAATATTTTATATTGAGATGAGACGTTAAGTAGTTCAGAATTTTATTGTTTCATGTCATCAGTCTTCCAGAGGAAAAGCAATCTTGGTGGCTGGGAGCAAAGAGCTGACATGATACCGAGAGTCTACCATCATAGCAAGTAGTCCTTAGCAAGAATATGGGTGGAGCCAAGGACAGACAACTGTTTATGAACACAAGAACATGGTCAATGCTGAGAAGGGGCAGCACACAGCAAAGGCCTTGATGGTCAGTTTAAAGGGGAGCTTGGTTAAGTTATCTCCTCACTTCCCAGGGAGGAGGACTGTCTGTTTGGCAGTCACACTCCTCAGAGTGTTTCCTACCCTATTGTTGGCACAAGAACAGCTCTAAAATCCAACCAGCTGGGGCTGGGAGAGGAGGTCGGTGGATAAACATAAGCTTTTGGGTTCAATCTCTGGTACCACCACTCTAAAAGGGGGTGGGCGGCACCAAACTGGCTTTGCTGCGGATTTACACTCAGCACTCCACCAGGAAAAGGGTTGCTTATGCAGATACCATCTCCAGCTGCCGGCACATGCCTGCACACACTGATCTTACATGATTCTGAACAATGCATGGCATCCCTGCCCCGACCCTGGGAACACAGCTGTGGTTCCAGTCCTTTAAAACAGAATCAACAGCAAGGCTTAGGTAAAATAATGCTTTGGTTGGAAAAAGGTTTTGAAAGCATGTGAACATCATGGTTTATCACTTGATCAGACCTTCCACGTGAGATAGGAAATGTGTGAAAAACAGAGTTGGCCAGCAAGTAGCCTATAGCAGGCTCGCTGGGATTCATAGAATTCTTATTTTAAGGAAAAAAAAAATGTACTGCTTTCTAAACGGCTAACATTTTTTCATGAGCTATTTTTCCCCCTAAAATATACAGTTCGAAGTTTGGGGAGAGGGGAGACATTTGGAGGATCTTACTACAACACATAGCCCATGAGAGCCTGAAGCTCTCTATGTAACCCAAGCAAGCCTCAAGCTCCTCCTACCCCATCAACCCCCAAACATAGGAATTACTCTCAATTTTGATCACAAAGCTATCTGGCCAGTCATCTGATGGATCTCTGAGTCTCCTACAGAGAGAGAACCTGCCTCAAAAACAAAAAACGATATGACAACAAAATCTAGATGGATAAATATTACATAGCAACACTGACTTGATACATAAAGACTTCTCTAAATTTTGGTTACAAAAGATCAATTATCTATCTGGATGACTGTTTACCAAATTATTCTCCTAAAGTAGCACTACATTGTTTTTTAGAGACTCTCCTTTCTTTCCTCACACTCTGCATCTATTGATTCAGCAAAGCCCCCTGATTACAGGGGGTCTCATCCCCTCTACTGCTTACCCCCTGAACCCAAGGCACTGCTTGTCTCTATCTTGAAGAGCCTCCTCTGTTCCCACACCTACTCAAGCTCCAGAGGCTTTTCTTTTTATACAAGAGCCAGGTTTTCAAAAGTATACATCAGATATATTTTGTTATTCATTTGTTCAAAATTGTCCTCTTTCCTATTTAGATGGGAATCTAAGTTTTTAGAGCCCATGAAGCTCCCACCTCATTCATTACTTCCTTGAGCTGCCTCCTCTATCCTCACCTCCTTTCTGCGCATCCTGTTACTGTCAACAGGGCTTCATCTTAAAAAACAAAATTATCACGCTTACGTATTTATTGATCTGTTTATCTTTGCGTATAAAGACTGCACGGTATGTGTGGAGGTCAGAAGATTCTGTACAGGAGCTGGTTTTTTACTATCACGTGGGCTCCGGGGATTCAGCGCAGGTCTCCAGGCTTGGCTGCAGGTGCCGATACCTGCTGTTGGCCTCACCACAGCTTCTTGGGCTCTGTGACTTGCCATTCTGATTTTTCTTTTTTCCTCCCTCTTTGCAATGGTGAGACTGAACTGAGGCCCTTGTGCATTCATTTCAGACAAGTGTTCTACCACTGAGCTACATCCCTGCTTGCCTATTCTCTCTGAATATACAGTACTTAGATGTCTTGCGTTTTCTTTCATTTTGCCCCCCCCCATATTATATCCATAAAAATACCCTTTGACTATTTCAATTAAAAGAGTGTATTCAACATCTTCATCTTGTTTTTTTGCATTCAATGTAACAGATAGTAACTGTTGACTTATTTATTATCCATCTCCCCCACAAGAATATAACTCCATGAGAGGCAAGATGTTATTCAATGATTTTTCTTCATCTAATTAAAAGTTGGTATAGAGAAGGCCAAGTATTAGGTATATACTGCCTAAATAATGAATGAACATTCTGGTTCTAATTATTGGCTGACTCTGCTGTTTTCTTTGAGATAGGATCTTACTATGCAGCCCTGGTTAGCCTTGAACTCACAGCAATTCCGTCTTAACTTTCTGATATGCTGGGATTATAGCTTGGAGTGTTCTATTACTTTAAATTTTGTTTTATGTGTTCTAACTTAATTTCCAAAAGCCCTCTGAACAGTATCTTGTCTGGACCATTTAATTTAGCATCTACCTTACAGCATGAGGAATTCAAAGACAAGAGAGAAATGGCTCTTGGATCCTGATGTGGCAAATATGGGGTCTACCTAGCAATAACAGCAAAACCAAGGCTAGTTTCAACACCTTATCTAGAGTAATCCCTTTTAAAGTAAAAGCCATCATATTAAAACTGAGCAGATTAGAAACCCTACAGTAGCTTGCTGCCTCTCTCTCTGAGTATGACTGGTTCTAGGGGTGGGCAATCAGGCCTGAGAGGTCTGGCCTATCAGCTCTCAGACCTCAGCTTTCACTCTTCCCCACCTTGTCTTACTGTGGACCAAGCACATTTGCCTGCTGTCACCCCTCAAACTGGGGTTTGCTTCTGCTCCAGGACATGTGTATCAGCTGCTGCTGCTGCTGCTTAAAATGCTCCTTACCTAAACATCCACATGGCTAATCCCTTCAACTTTAGGCTTTGACACTACTATTTAAAATAACAGTCTAGTACTCCAGCCCCTCTGTCATGCGCTACTTCTCCTGGCCATGGTTTTACTTTTAATCTTACAAATTTTACACAAATGTGCATAAATGTATGTATGCATATATATATATATGTACATATACATATATATATATGCATGCTTTTCTTCTCGCTTAAACATAAGCTCTATGAGGGGAGGAATTTGTTATGTTCACTGACTCCAAGCAACTACAACTGCAGCTGACATACATACATATATATATATGTATATATATATATATATATATCACACAATATTTGTGATTGAAGGTAAATAGTCTTTTGACCTTTATTCTTACAAACTACTCATGTCCTCATGTCTGGCCTATCTTTTAAAATCTTTTTTTTTTTTTGCCTTTTGAGACAGGGTTTCTCTGTGTATAGCTCTGGCTGTCTTGGAACTTCCTTTGTAGACCAGGCTGGCTTCAAGTTCACAGAGATCCCTGCCTCTGTCTCCTAAGTGCTGGGATTAAAGGTGTGCCCCACTGGACTAGGGAGATGGCTCAGAGGTTAAGAGCCTTGGTTGCTCTTCCAGAGGACCTGAGTTCTATTCCCAGCAACTACATGGTGGCTCACAACCATCTATAATGAGGTCTGGTGCCCTCTTCTGGCCTGAAGACACACAGCCAGGAGACTATATATGTAATAAATAAATAAAATCTTTAAGGGTGGGGGAGGAAAGGTATATGCCACCACTGGCTCAAATACCTGAATTTTGCACTTAAATTTAATTTTGGATCAATTATATGACTTTTCAGTGTACTTAATACCTATGCTTCCCAGTTTAAAGTTAAGAATAAACCCTCACAGAGGAGTCGAGGCGATGGGATGGGAAAAAGCAGTACAAAAGTTAGATGATGGCATTGGTTATTTAAAGCTTCCTGTGGTTTTAGAAGGAAAATGTCTTTTCTCCCTCCTCTACCTTTGACCATTATTAGTGAAGGTTTTCCTTCACTTAGGGCACATAAGTGAATTTTAAGAGGACAACTCCTCCCCCAAGAACCAACTACCAACCTGACTAGTAGCTGTTAGCAAACTATAGTGACATATAGTGGCAAGACAGAGTAATGAAGCCATGGCACTCAGACCCTCAGACTAGAAACAGGCTTTGCTAGCTATTTCCTTAATTCTTTCTGGTGCTGTGGTGCTGGGATTAAACCTGGAGCCTCGTGCGCGCGCACGCACATGCGCGCGCGCGTGTATGGTGTGTGTGTGTGTGTATGTGTGTGTGTGTGTGAGAGAGAGAGGGGGGGGGAGAGAAAGGGGGGAGAGAGAGAGAGAGAGACACTCTAATCCCCAGCCAGCTGTTTTTAATAACAAAAGAATAGAACAGAGGGCTGAAAAGAGAGACCACATAGAATAAATATTACCCAGCAAGGCTCTCAGTGTCAGCTGGTTCTTACCTGGTAATGCTGAAGCTCAATCACAGCAGCCCTCCCTCAGTGGAGATGAAAGCATGCTATGGTTGAGCCAGTTACCCAGAGAGAAAGACAGATGTGCCATAAAATGCCATAAAACTTAAAGCCAGAGTCAAAGTCATACCGAGAGATACTTTGGTAAGTCTGAAAAGAAATAAATAATACCTCTATTAACTACTGCTTGGACAACTGATTAGAGGTTTGGGGGAATATAAGATTAGAGAAATGCAGAGACAGACTTTCCAGGTTTTAGCAATGCACACTATACACAGTGGCTCTGGAATGAAGGTGATACCTACAGACCCAATTACTGAAATTTAAGAAATATGTTAAGCAGAGACCTAGTCCAGGAAAGAGGCAGAGGGAATTGCAGCGCTTGGAAGACAGACTCATCCTACCCTCCAGATATCCCCTTTGAGTGTTTCATGGACCAGCCCACCTACTTCACCTTTATGTAAAAACTAAACATCCTCAAAATACTGACTACCATTCTGACTCACACTGAGTTTATGCAGCTCCCAAATCTCAACATGGAAAGAAAATGTTTCAAAGTCTGAGCAGGTGATTAGGCCTGTGGAAGGAGACAACCATTTGAAATGACTGAGACAAAAAGCCTGATTTTGCCCCTAAGCACAGGCCACGGGGCTGGTAGCTGAATAGATATATATGGACTGTTTTACTAGGACAGTCATGTTTAGGGTAGCTCATGGCCCTGCTTTTTCTTCTTCCGGTATGTTACTTGGGAAGGAGAGAATGAATGAAAAATTAAAAATATCCCAGTAATGATCAGTAATGCTCTTACCACATCAATCTCAGTGTTGGAATGCCCCATGTTACAGACGATGCAACTGTTCTTCATGCGGTCCAAGTGCTCTCTGGTTACCACATTCTTGTTACCTTAAAATCAGAAGAGAGACATGAAAAGGAATGAAGTTAGACTACTACACCATACTTATATAAAAACACAATCCTATTTTTTTTTTTTTTTTGGACAGGGTTTCTCTGTGTAACTCTGGATGTCCTAGGACTCACTCTACCCGCCTGCCTCTGTCTTCTGAGTGAAAGGGCTAAGGGTGTGTGTCACCACTGCCTGGCTCATAGATCACATTCTAAAGAGCAAAAACTATTTAAAACCCTCAGTTGCTTAAAGAAATCTTACAGGAACATAACAGTGAACCCTTGTAATATTAGGTTGGTCAACAGTCTACTTACTCCCATACAGCACTTTAAACATAAGCAACAGAAGAAAGTAGAACCTGGACTACATCAATACACAAACAAATCCTTGTTTTATAATGACCCCACTAAGGAAGTGTTTAAAGACAACAAACAAAATCTGTGTATATCAAACACCAAAATGGGATTTCTATCCAAACTGTATTTGGGACACTTACAACTCAGTAATAAAGATAAACCACCTAATTTAAAGAGGAGCAAAGGACCAGAAAGGATGTTTCTTCAGAGATATGCACGCCCGAAAAGCACAGCCAAGAATGGAGAGCATCACTAGCTATCAAAATCATTCAGTACTTTACGTTCACTGGGGCGACAGTAACAAACCCACAATAATAAAAGTGTTGTTGAGGGCGCAGAGAAACTGGAACCTCCAGCATTGTTGATACAACTGGACAACAGTGCCAGCACTTTGAAAAGCAGTTTGATAATTCTTTAAGTGGAGTTTCTATAGGATACAGAGATTCTATTGCTGTTTATACAAACAAGAGAACTGGAAACGTGTTCACACAAAGTCTTGGATGCAATGTTTGTAGTGGCATCATTCATGATGACTCCAAAGTGAAGCCCACCCAAACATCCATCTATATTTATCAGAACAAGATAAACTGTGGTATAGCCACACAAAGGAATATTCAGAAACAAAAAGAAATGAAATACTAACACGTGCCATTATATGGATGGAACTTGGGAGCATCATGCCAAGTAGAATAAGCCAGTCACAAAAGACTTCATTTTGTATGACTTCATTTTACATGGAATGCCCAGCAAATATGCACAGACACAAGGATCAGTGGTTGCTTAGGGTTACAGGTGTGTGAAGGATAAACTAAAGAGTGATCATTTGTGATAGAGGGCGTCTTGTGGGTATAATGAAAATGTTCTAGAATTATACAATGGGAAAGCACCATACTGTACACTTTTCAAAGGTGAACACTGCATTACATGAATTATATATCTCAATAAAAGTCACTGTAACAGTTGTACAACCCTGTGAATTTCTTACACAAAGTATTGAATTACGGTGCTGGGGATCAACCCTGGGCCCTCTGAGCTGTACATATGGGTGAAACAGATGACATGGGACTCACATCCCAGCCAAGCCATTAAAGTAAGTTCATGCTGGGCAGTGGTGGCGCACACCTTTAGTCTCAGCACTTGGGAGGCAGAGGCAGGTGGATCTCTGTGAGTTCAAGGCCAGCCTGGTCTACAGAGCGAGTTCCAGGACAGGCTCCAAAGCCACAGAGAACTGTCTTGAAAACAAAACAAAACAAAACACCCCCCCCCAAGTTCATTTATCCCTAGCATGGGGAAGAGAGGAAGAGGGAGAAGAGAGGAAGAGGGGGGAAGGAGGGAGGAGAAGAGGAAAGGGGGGAGGAGAGGAAGGGAGAGGAGAGGAAGAAGATCTATGGGACCCAGGAATGAAGCAAGAGCAACTCCACATGGTCCCTGTCCTCTGCCCTGGTTCTTGCTGAGGATATAAACACATTTTATTTCCTTTCTCTTAGAGAATTATAAAAGAAAACCAGTATTCCAATGATTTATGGTTCTAGTAGACAATTATAATACGTTTCTCAATCTAGCCATTTTTGACATTCCTACCTAAATTAAAAATCTACCTGGAGAGGTGGCTCAGGTGTTAAGAGCACTGGTTGCTCTTCCATGAGGGCCTGGGTTCAATTCCCGGCACCCACATAGAGGCTCACAGCAATCTTTAACTCCAGTTTCAAGGGACCTGACACCCTCACCCAGACATGCACGTAGGCAAAACATCAATGCACATAAAATAAAAATAAACTGTATAAAAAGTCTGTCTATTTTACAACTAACACAAGCATTCCACTTTTTCTAAATATGAACTTTTCTCTTTCCATGTCATAATTTATAGGTACTATACAGAAGCATATTTGCTTTCTTTGTTTATTTTTTTTGAGACAGGATCTCATTATGTAGCTCTGGCTGTCCTGGAACTCACTATGTGGACCAGGCTGGCCTCAAACTCACAGAGGTCCTCCTGCCTCTACATCCTGAGTGTTAGGATTAATGGCGTGTGCCACCATGCCCAGCCGAATATTTGCTTTCAGGGTGAAATAAAAATAGTGGTCTGAGAATAGAGCTCAGTGGTACAGTACACATTCATCATGCTTAAAGTCCTGGAAATAATCACTGGTGCATAGTTTTCAATTCCTAGCTATGTCCCAGGAGGTTAAAGATGGGCAGATACATAGCACAAGTAAAGGACAAAGAGGAACTTTTCTGTGTGATGACCTAATGTCTAGGCTTGGGCATAGGTAGAAAAAGGTAAGATAGACTTATTTTGTCTACTGTCTCTAGTGTGTGTGTGTGTGTGTGTGTATGTGCGTGTGCACGTGCATTTCTTCTGTCTGACTCCACTTATGAAATTGTAAGTGTATGCCACCATGCCTGGCTTTTAAAAAAAGATTGTTTGCTTTATGTGTATGAATGTTTTGTCTGCATGTATGCATGTGTACCACATATATGTCTGGTACTCACAGTTAGAACAGGGTGTCAGATCCCCTGGAACTGGAGTTATAGAAGGTTGGGGGCCACCATGTGGGTATTGGGAATCCGACCTGGATCCTCTTCAGGAGCAATAACTGTTTTTGTTGTTGTTGTTTTTCGGGATAGAGTTTCTCTGGGTAGCCCTGGCTGTCCTGGACTTTGCTCTGTAGACCAGGCTATCCTCAAACTCACAGACATCTGAAAGGCATGTGCCATCACTGCCCTGATGCAGTGTTCTTAAGCACTGAGCCAACTCCCCAGCCACCCATGCCTGACCTTTTTTAGATAGGTTCTTGGAATCAAATTCAGTCACTCATGCTTATTAAAGCAAATGTTTTACCAAAAGAGCCACTCCTGCCTCCAAACCCCTATTTCTGGCTTTAATATTTTGGATTTATCCAGAATATTTTCAATCACCTTCCATTTGCTGCATGAAAGCATTCCCAAATCTTAACACTCTGCCCCCAATATATAACAACCATACCTGTGCAAGTAATAACAATGTCCACTTGTCGGATGACCTCATTTAATTTCACTAGTCGGAATCCATCCATACTGTAGAAATAAAGCAGGATTAATTAAACTAAGCCAGTAAATGGGGGTGGGGTCTTTCTTTAACAGCTAGCATCCAGTTTTTTGGGTAGATACAATGTTACTTCTTGGATAGCTGGAATGTGTTCAGGGTGTTCATTTTGCTTGGTTTTGAAGACAGTGTCACTGTATAACCCAAGCTGGCCTCAAAACCTGGATCCTCGAGCCTCTTCCTTCCAAGCACTGGAATTATCAGTGTGTGCCACCACATCTGGCTTGGACTACTCTTCAGCCCAAAGTCCCGATCATTCCCTTAGTTTACATAGGAGAGATATAAATGCTCCCTTTCCATCATTGGAACTAGTTCGTCCTACTAACAGAGAGCCAAGCAAGGGCTGCTGCGAGCACCCCAAACAAGATTTCTAGAAAAAGCCATTTGGCCATTGAATCTATTCTTACTGAACCTGTTCTCCCAAGATCAATGATTTTTATTTTTCAAATTTAAAAACAAAGCAAAACATTATTTTCTTAGGGTCTTACAGTACTCGATTCCTCTGCCACATTAAATATAATTTACCTGCTTAAAACCTAGCCCCTGCCCTTTGGGGTGCTGGGGATTGAACCCAGAACATTGTTCATGTGAGGCAAGTGTAGCCAAGTTGGTTATATTCTCAGCCTTTTCCTGGGCAAGACCTAAATTCTTATACACACTGCCAGGTGATTCTTACTTCAGATACTACACTCTCCTTAAATATGCCATGCAAGCCTTTGTTTGGAGAGTATGCACTTGCGCCTTTTATAGGGCACAAACTTTCAAGCAGAGGAAGAAAGCAAACAAAAACAACTGCACACGTTTTAATCAAGCTTTTCTGTCCACGGGTTTTGAGGCCAGCCTGGGTTATACAGTGACACTGTCTTCAAAACCAAGTGTCCTCAGCCAGACACTGCTCCCCTGTGTCCCTACAGCACTGCGTGCTCTTTCCAGTGCCCATGACACAGCACAGCAGTGACCCGTGTCCATCCAAAAGCAGAGCCTTGTCCCTACAGCTACTCATCCCACTCACCCTCGGCACACAGCTTGGCAAAGCGGCCTCAGCACGGTGAGTACTGGTTCACGGCTCTGAGATCGTTTGACCTGTAGTGTCATCACTGTCTTGTTCAAGTTTCTACACTGAGCAGAGTACTAGAAAGGTGATGGTGCTTGTGTCTGAAGCTGGGGGAGAAGCCAGTGACTGTTACAGAACTCTGCTTTGGTAGCATATGGCTGGGCTGGTGAGTAGCAGGGCAGAGGGAAACTTACTCTAACCTTATTTTATCTTAGTGCCCTCCTTCCAGAGGTTCAGTGGAAAACACTGCATAGAAATTATAAAATGCAGATATACACTACATAAACTTGGGCTTTGCAGTAGCTTTTAGTGACTGTGGCATTTCTCCTCCTGTGGAAGATGGGAATAACTTTAGTAACAGTTACCACTTAGTGAGCTCAGTTACAGGTTTATAACTTAATTTATGATACTATATAATAATTATGTGACTCAATTCTCAATACTTTAAGGCAAGGATGATTATTTGCATTTTCTTCCTTCCTGGTGCTGAACTCATAGAAACTCTTATCACTACCTCCCAAATGCTGGGATTAAAGGTGTGCCCTGCTAGGACCCACGTTTCCGAAAGGAAAAAAATTTAAAAAAATTTAAATTTGGATTTATACCTTAAGAATTACAGAATACTACAAACAATTTCCCACATATTCTTCATACAAGAGTTATCAGACTTCCCCCTTAGTTTGGACTTGTCTGATTACTTTCTCATAGTTAGATCCGCATTTCCATTTTTGGGAGGGTTACCATAGAAGTCTCTTCAGGGTGTTATAGCAGAGGCTCTGACAGCCTATTGCGTTTCCCTCCCCTCCCCTCTCCTGTGCGCTTTACCACTAAGCTCACCCAAGCTCTCCTTTCTCTTTCTCCTCCCGGCAGAATTTTCACTCTGTAGCCCAGGCTGGCGAGACAAGGTCTTATTCTGTAACCAAAGCTGGCCTGGAACCTACAATCTATTTGCCTCAGCTTCTGGAATGTTAAGATTACATGGCTGAACCTTAAAAAAATACTGTTGTATGTGTAGGATATGTATGTGTGTGTGTGTGTGTGTGTGTGTGTGTGTGTGTGTGTGTGTGTGCGCGCGCGCGCGCGCGCACAGGCCAAGGTATACCTATAGGGAGGTCAGAGGACAACTTTGTGAAGTTGGAGACTGAATTTAGGTCATTAGGATTGCACAGCAAGCACTCGCTCTAGTGCCTCTGTCTCCCCAGTGCTGGGATTAAAGGCATGCAGCACCACACCTGCCCTTTATTATTATTTTCATTATTACTTTCAAAGAGGCAGGGATTACATGTTGGGAGATGTTAATGGAAGGATTTGTTCATTAAACCAATGCATCCTGTTACTGTTTCCACAGGAATTCTAAATTTTATCTTCTCTCGGAGCAGAACTCCTTGACTTTTGTAAGGTGGAAGCTTGGAGTTCACTTCGCAGCTTCCCCGGATCTGGGTCTGAGATGTGGCAGTAAGCATGATAGACAGCAACGTAAAGGAGGAGTATCCATCCCATTGCATGCTCACCAGGCTTGCAGGGCACAGATGGGGTCGATCTCAGTCACATACACAATGGAACCCATGGCTTTCAAAGCAGCGCAGCACCCCTTTCCCACCTGAACAGGGAAGGACACACACAATAAAGAGAGTCAGCAAGAACACACATCTCAAAGCTTCTGGGAAAGGAAGGGTACCCCCCTTCTCTCCCCTCAAAGTAATTTTGCTGAATAGATTCGTGCTTGGGGAAAACCAAGAAAAATGAGTAAGTGTGGTTCACAAACAAACCCCTGGCCCCTGCTCAGCACATTCATATGCACGAGAACGCCCACATTCACGATTTGTAATCAAAACAAGCTAAAAGAACATCACAAACAGAGGTCCTGGAACAAGTCAGAAAATCAACTGGAGGAAAAATACAAAAGGGAAAGCAAGGCACTTAACTCGAGACTTCTAGAGTTATGTGTTCCCATCTAAAGTGGCACATGAATATACTTCTGTCTGTATGTAAAGTTATGGAATATTTCATCAAAATATATCTTAAACATCCAACAAGTAAAAGGTTGAACTTTACCTCTCCATAGCCACAGACCACCACTTGCTTTCCACCAAACATCATATCTGTTGTCCTTTTAAGTCTGGGGGAACAAAAGCAAAGTCCGGCCATTAAATCATAAGGAAGGTTCCTTTGCTTCTACCTGAGGTTTGCGCTTTTGTTTTGAAGTTTTTCATTTTTGAAGGAAAGCAATAAAGCACTTATTTGTCCATCTAACCAGTTCTATATATACACGAGGTTTGCCCCTCCCACTTTCATCTTCCTCCTTCTTGGGAGCAGTGCAAAAAGAAGTAGATTACACAGTAAGTTAACAAAAGCAATGTACACGTATACTGTGAGTAGATACGGGCAAAAAAAGAAAAGATACAAATAAGGTAACAGTAATTTTAATTTAGGAAGTGACAAAGTTCTGGCTTAATAGGAACATTATTCCGGCTTACTGCTTTGGAAAGACGCCCCTAATGATGCGTTTAGCAGGAGCAGAAGGCCAGCTGGTTCTACATTGATTCAATAGGGAGAGTAATGGACAATAATGCAGAGTGAACTCTACTGATGCTGACGACACAGGCTACAGTGAGCTTTCTGGGGCTGATTCTGGAACAGTTACAGTCTACCTTTGTATCTGGTTCTCTGTGAAACTGATCTTTGCTGTCTCCATGATTTCTGGGAAGGATATCTAGGAATGAATTCTAGTTTCTCTTTGGGCACAATGAGTGCTGGATTTCAGGTGAGCGCCAGCATGCCTGGCTCCTACGGCTCTCGTCTCTGGGGCAGTTTGCGGCTCCTCTCATCTCTCTTGCTCCCATCGCTACGGAGAGAACCGCCCTTGACCAGCTGCAGTTTTGCGCTGTCTGTGGGCACCAGTGCTCTCACCGCTCGGCAAGCTTAGATGCGTAGCTGGCGTTTTCCTGTTTCTCCACTGGGGAATCTAACCTAACTCTTGCTCAGCTGTTTCCTTCTTTGTCACTTTTCAACTTTAGAACCCTTGTTACCTAAGGAGTTAACTATGGTTGGGAGGAATGCTATCCATTTTTCTGAACTAGCAGAGCTGCCTTCATGAATCTTTTACTGACCCTGGTATAGGTAAGGTCAACTTCAAGTTCACACATCTGGTACTTGAAAAGTCTGAAAGCTAGGTGTAGGTAGAGAAGTATTTTAATGAAACATATACATTTCTACCAGTTTGGACAGAACTGAGGTATCGGTCACAATGGCCCTTACGTGTGGACACTCTATGGCTGACCACTGGGCTAAGAATTGATTAAAATGTTTAGTCTATCTAATACTACTGACCCCACAGTAATATGGTAGGTAGCAATAGTTACAATGTGTATTGAACATGCTACCAAATTAAAACACAACAAAAACACAAACAAACCAACCAGCAAAACCTTAAGAGTTAACTTAATTCTAAAACTTACTACATAGATAGTTCTAGAAAGATAGGCACACATGTGTATTCTATTGGAAGATTGAAACAGAACTGTTACATTGAGGCCAGACGGGGCTACTTATCCCCATTCCAGGTCAGCAGGGTCTACATGGTGAAATACCACCTCCACTTTTTTAATAGGAGGAAGGTAATATAACAACACTGAATAGCTTATCTTGCCTCTTTTAATCCTCAATAACAACTCCATGAACTAAGTCATAAAGTTACCGTTTTACAGATGAGGAAATATGCAGAGAACAAGCGAGGGATTATAGTTAACAAATAAATAATGGATCCAGCATTTAAACTGAAGCCTCTCTGGACCAAGTGCCTGTGGCGTCATCACTCAACCTGAAATGGTTAGGAAGCCGGACCACAGAATCTTTTATTTTTCTATTGATCCATGTGATAGAAACACAGCATTTGGCATATTCTAAGCCATCTTTATGGTTTCTCTTAGAAAATGACTTGGGGGCTATGATTTAGGTCTAGAATGTTTCCAAAGATCCACATGATAAAGGCCTGTGTGTTCCCCCCCCCCCCCCCCCCCCGCTGGTATTACTAAAAACGTGTTAAAAACTACCAGGTGGAGCTTATGGGAGGTTTCCTAGAAACTGGAAACGTATTTGGGAAGTGATAGAGGGGACCCAGAGCCTTCCTTACTCTCTTCTTATGCCCTACTCAGAAGGGGAATAGTTTGGTTCATCACATGATCCTAACTAACCACAGGCTGCCTCACTGCTTGCCCCAAGGCAAGTATGTACATCTGTCCACATACGAACACCTTTAAAACCCTGAGCCAAAACCAACCTTGGATTTTCAAAAGCTGGCTATATCAGGAATTAGTCCCACTAACGGAGTGCCGACTACACGTGGGGTCTCCTAGCAGGGATGAGGACACAGGGTGGAGACGGAAGCTGAGCATGGTCAAACCTGCAATTCTCATAAAGCAGGGAAATGGGAAATGCCTCTGGGGATTAGTTCTAGTCAAGAAATTGTGTGCTGTGTTACAGGAAACATGACCTGAAATAGGATCACCCGAAACCTCTTTCAAAATCAACTTTATGCCATTTTAATGACACAAAGTCTAACAGGACCACAAAATATGGACTCCGCTTACCAACAGAAGCCAAACCCATTTCTTTTTTTCTAAATTTTATGTTTTTATGTGTATGAATGTTTTGTCTGCATATATGTTTCTGTGCCATATGTGTGCCTGGTAACTGTGGAAGCCAGAGGAGGGCACCAGATCCCCTGGGCCTGGAATTACAGATACTTGTAAACTGCCATGTCAGTACAGGGAATCAAATAGGTCCTCTGGGAGAGCAGCCAGGGCTCTGAATCACTGAGCTCCCAGCCTCACTTCCTAACTGAAAGAGATTTTCTTGTGATGGTGATGGCAACAGAGCTCTGGGTTATAAAGTCGTGGGTGTGAAGTGGACATGAAACAGTTCCAGAAATAACCAAAGAAGCTGGAACCTTCACTGAATAACCCAAGATCAAGTCAAAGATAACAAACATTACCCATCAAGAATAGATTCACGGCAGCAGTAGAGGTTATCAAATTTCTGTTTAGTGACTGAGTCATTGACGTTCATGGCTGGAACACACAGCTTTCCAGCTTTGGACAGTTGGTACAGCCTGGGAATGGGAGAAGTCAAGAACAGAAAACAATGAGACATTACAATCTACTGTTGGTTTATGTCAGATCTCTGAAATGCACCGATGGGCTGAGCATGAGAGCATAAGACATAACTAATTTCATCCTACTGAACAGATATTGAGAAACATAATGTGCTTCTAGAGGCTGTTCACAGCTTGGCAATAAGGCTTACATTAAAAAAAAATTATGTAGAGAAAATCTTTTATCCAACTAAATTTCAAGATCTTAAATGAAAAACTCTCAATTGCATATAAATCTTTTTTATTTTACTGTCTTATAGACTGAGGCTTCTGTTTTGTGACGGGGTCTCACTGTGTAGCTCTGACTGGCCTGAAACTTATTATGTAGACCAGGATGGCCTTGAACTTAGAGATCCACTGGCCTCTACTGGCATCAAAGGCAGGTACCACTATGCCCATTACAAGACTGAGACTTAAAAAAATTATTTACTTTTATGTGTATGACTGTCACCCACAAACGTAGCATGCATTTACACAAACACACATGCATACATATAAATAAAAACAAAAATAAATCTTAAAAATAGCTTTGAAAGAACTAATTTTAAATATTTTTAAAATCCAGCATAATCCTACTACAATGACTTTTACTTTTCAGTAGTTTTAAACTCTTAACAATAACATATAAACTCATAAATTGCATATATATGTGAATTCAAAACCCAAGCTAGGGACACCATCTGGTGGAAAAAACTGACTTACAGTTTTTCTTTCTGGTACTCACATTTATGACATGCTAGTGTGTACACACACGTGCACACACACACACACACACATATTTTAAAAATGCAGTCCTTTCTAAGAAGGTATGTTGCATGTTGCAAGCTATAGATCTTTTTGTTTTTTTAATTTTATGTGCATTGGTGTTTTCTCTTTGTCTGTGTTAGGGTGCTGGAAACTGAACCTGGATCTTTTGAAAGGACTGCCATTTCTCCAGCCCCAAGCCACACTTTTATGTAATCAAAAGGATCAGAAAACATTAAAGTGGCTTGCTTTGGATTGATTTCCCTAAAAGTTTGTTTCACACTTTAAATCCTTTATGGGTGAATAAGACTAACTGAAATGATTCCAATTTTATCCTTTGTGATGGGACCCAAAGTCCTTGCTGTCTGTGAGGCGTGGGTTTCTGAGAGGGCATGGGTTTTGTCTACTGTGGGTCTCTAGCACAGAGCAGTGCCTGGCTCCTTGTCGGAATTCAGTGAATATTTATTGAATGAATTAAACTTGTCAAAAAAGAGCAAGCAGTCGCTGCTCTACAATGACAAGAAAACATGAGGACCCTACTTGCTCCTCCATCCGAGCGGTTCACCATTTTAGGTTTGTAATTTGTGTTATTAATTAAAGTAAGTGCCTAGCTTAGTTAGACACGTTACCTTGGAGAAAGCTCCAGCTTTTAGCATAATGTGTTCTACAGGTATGTGATTATAAGATTCTAAGCTAGGGATGACTGTTAACTCTTACCTGTGGACTCCAGTAACACTCTCTTCCACTATGCCTTTGATTTTCTTAAACATGTTGGGATACTTTTTATAAATCCAGTGAGTGAGATCTCCTCCGTCATCCAGTATCTGCAACAGAGGAGGCATCAGGAATGTTACTTGTCTTACTGAAGGCTTGGGCTTCAGTCCCTCCTCAGGGTCCTGCCTCCCAGTTCCTAATTACCAATGTACAGACATTTCAAAATTTCCATATAGTTGTGAAAAGTGACTTAAAGCCAGAGTTACTATAACAATCTACCAAATAAAAGAGTCATTGCACTCAAAGCAAAGAGTAGGGAGAAAGGCCAGCTGTAATTCTCTCAGTCGGGTGACCCACCTCATAACATATCTACTTTACCAAACCATATTGCAACGTGAGAATTTTCTTATGGATGATCAGCTCAGGAGGCCATCAGGACCTCCAGTTCTTGAATATTCTTTGGATCTTCAGAAAACTCATTTCTAACTGCTGATTTTAGTACTTTAAATAAATTCAACTGAGGCTTAGTTTAAACAGAAGGACAGATAATTAGTCTCTCTCAGAGCAAGGCTCTGGAAACTGAAGCTGTTAATCCCTTACTTCTCACAAAGCCCAGGCACTCCCCCACCCCATGTCTCGGGCAGCCCTGGAGGGCTTTGCCTAGCTCAACCTCGCACTCTGTACGAGCCAAATTAAAAATAACCAGGGAGCCGTGCAGCACGTAGGTGTACACGCATGCTTCTGAACAGCTCATGACTCTTTCAGGATGGGATGAAAGATAAATACGAGGCTGTGCCCACTAGGGCCTCCATCAGCAGGGGAAGGCTTTTGAGTTATAAATCAGGCCCAAGCTGCAGCAGCTCAGCCCTTCAGGGTGGTTAGAAGAGCTCATCAGGGCTTCTCTGGGTTGATACACCTCTCCTGGAGGTCTCCACACATTCTTTAAACTTCTAGCATATCAGCGATACAATATCAAAACCACCACCCTGAATCCCAGGGAACACAAAACACCCAACTCCAGGTCTATCATCTCATCTTCTGCTCCTGCTATTAATCTATTTTACCTAATTCAATCAAATCTTGCTTGAGGGTAGGAGCCACGGCAAGACTCTCATTAGAATTCTTAGCCTAGCTACATACCTATAAATAGAGCCCCTAAGAGCCCACAGAGGGGCCAAGGATAGAAGATCAAAGGTAGAGTCCTTAGTTTCGATCCCCAACCCCAAAAGGCTGGGGAGATGCTTTAGTTAATGAAGTGCTTGCCTTACAAACATTAGGGCCTGGGTTTAATCCCCGGCACCCACATAAAAAGCCAGGCATGGTAGTGTAGTGCCTGAAAACCCAGTGTGGAGGCAAAGATGGGCCCAGCTTAGTCTAACTGTGGAGTCCCAGGTATCAGCGAGAGACCCTGTCTCAAAAAACAAGGTGAAGGCTCCTGTGGAATGACAGCTGAGGTTCTCTTCTGGCTTCTATAACACGAGGAGTACACATATGCACATGTAAGCACACATATTCCCCCTCTCCAATCTTCCTACATAAAAGTAACCAGAGAGTTTCTCTCTGCGGTTCTGTACGCACGGATTCCATGAGGTTTTCACTTGCTGCCTCTGATCCCTGCCCACAAGGAAGAACAGACAAAAACCCAAGTATCCGGCAACTCTGTAGGTAAGTCCCATTATGCTCATTTACTTTTCCCTTTATTATTTACCTATGTATTGGGCTGGCCGACCACCAAGCCCTAGGGGCCTCCTGTTCTCCTCATCCCCAGTGCTGTGCTAATGAATGCTTCCTACCACACCCGGCTTTTACATGGGTGGTGGGATCCTTTACCCAGTGAACCAGCTCCCCAGCCTGACCTGGAACTCTTGATCCTCCTGTTCAGAGTATAGGCGTGCATCACCACAGCTGGCTTACACAGTGCTGGGGATCAAACCCAGGGTTCCATACATGCCAGGCAAATGCCCTGCCAAATGAGCTATATCCCAGTGCCTACTTTCCCCTTTAAACAAAGGCCAGAAGTTGCTGTCCTCCTCCACAAAGTTCCTGACCTCAAATAATCTTCCTCTTCCTGAGGTTGGAATGCAAGTTAAAGTATTGGGTCTTGGTCAAAGATATGAGTTCTGTTTTCTGAGGGGAAACTATTTTAGGTCCTTGTGACTGTCTTTGCTAACTCTCCTAGCGGCTGTCCTGGCACCCCACGCTGTAAAGCCTCTCTGGGTGCAAGACTACAAAATCAATTTTATTCCCAAGAGACACGTGCCCCACCCATATCTTCTTTACGTGTCAGTCAGACCCCTCCTTGTCACCTAAAATTGCTGCAATGAGCTGACTCATCCTGGAGGCACCATCACTTCCTCCTTCCTCAAGCCAGCACTTGGAGCCATGTGACCTGGACCACAGGCTTCACTGGGCTCCAGGGAAGACGAGGCTTTAGCTGTCAGCAGCAAGGAACAAGGAATCATATTCTCTCTCTCTCTCTTTCCCTCCTTTCCCCCCCCCCCCCGCTGGTTCTCTAATTGTTTTTTTTTTTAAACTAAATTTCTTTTTTTAATTTCATTTTACATTCCAACCAAAGTTCCCCCTCCTACCCCTCAATTCTCTAATTTATTTTTTTGTTTGTTTTGTTTTGTTGGTTTTCAAGACAGGGTTTCTCTGTGTAACAGTCCTGGCTGTCCCGAAAGTTGCTTTGCAGACAAGGCTGGCCTTGAACTCACTGGGATCTGCCTGCCTCTTCCTCCCAACTGCTGGGATTAAAGGCATGTACCACCACTGCCCAGTGGATTCTCTAATTTCTTAGTAAAATAATGCAGAAATGTTGGTAAGGCAAGGAAATATATCATATTTTTATGCCTTTTTCTTTCTCTATGAATGTAATTGTGATTTTAGTTTCAAGAGAGAGAGTGTGTTTATTTAAGTATTATAAACCCAGGGCTTCAAGCATGCTAAAACCAGGGCTCTACCCCTGAATTATACATAACCCAGTCCTACATTTCATTTTCCCTTTTTAATTCTTCAGGCTGGGGACTAAACCTAGGGCTATGCATGCCAGACAAAAGCTCCCCGGTGAGCTACATCCATAGCCTCTCAGACTGGATCTTTTAAACAATGAAACAAAAATAAAGTATAAAGGGAAACCCCTAAACTTCTGGTCATCTTTTACAAAATAAAGAGAAGAAATGTGCACTTGGAAGTGCTCCAAGCACACTAGAACCTCGGTGTGAAGATTCCCGGAAAAGCTAAGTGCCTCAGGAGCAGCAAGGCGCCTGTGCCTTCCCGTGTGTTTGTTGGTATTTGTGGCAATTGTTACTGGAGCAACTGTGAACAGCAGTAGGGGACAGAATGCATGCCTTCTGCTTGTTAGCCTATCATGTGTGAACCCTGGGTAGCATTTTCACATTACTGGCAAATGTGAATGCTTCCGGGCTGGCCTCAAGCTCAAGGTTCCTGAATGCTGGGAGAGCTAATCAAGACTCTTTGCAGTGTTAAGAAGTTCAGGATCTAGAGGTTTCCTAAGCAGATTCACTGAATTTTCCTGGAAACCCAGGTACATCAGACATAAACGGGTCCATTTTCCTTCCTTCCCTAAGTCAGTCTTTCCCACTACTACCCCTGCCCTGTGAGCTGCGTTAACTAACTGACGGGGTCTGACCCACCATGTTTGGCTGCCAGCCCTCCACATTCACACATCGGTCGATGCACCACCAAAAGTCGTCTTCTGACTCTCCTTTCCAGGCAAAGACAGGAAATCCTAAAAATAATAAAAGGAGCAGAGAACCCATTAAAGGCTATGAAAGGGCCAGACCCCAGATTTTAACAAGAAAGTGCCAATTTCCCCGCCAATTTCTAATTTTCTCATTTCTTTGGATTAACTCCCATCACTGGCTAATACTGTCTCCAGTCCCTTATCCACTCCTCCTCCTGTAGTGGCTACTCTGCTCTTCTTGGCTCAAAAAGGACAAGCAACAAGGCTGTAAGAGTTGCTAAAAATAGGACTAACAGGAAAAAGAAGAATCCAGAAATAAGTACTTGATCCAGAGTCATTTGTCAGCCTCATCATCCCTCGGATCCACTGGAAAACTCTCATACTTTACCCACCCACGTGCTTGTTCCGCATCACAGCCTAGGGAAGTGTAATGGCCATTATGCAAGCTGCTTAACTTAGCGGGGTGAGAACCAAATGAATGTGAACTTTAAAGCCAGCGTTTATGTGTTTATGTGTTACTGAACATAGACTTATTTACTTTTGCAGTGTTGGGGCGGAATAAAGCTATGATTCTAAGCAAATGCTCTATCACTGAACTTCATCATTCATTGATTATTTATACATTTAGGTAGAGTTGAGACAATATTTCACCATGGAGTTGAGGACAGCCTCAAACTTGTGGCCATTCTCATGCCTTGGCCTTCTGAGGACTGGGGTTGCAGATGTGAGCCATGATTCCCAACTTTCTTTTTAAATGCTTTTATCTTGAGACAAGATTTTACTAAGCTTCCTAGGCAGGTTCTGAACTATGATCTTTTGCCCTCAACCTTTCTAATACCTGGAATGACAGGAATATGTCACCATGACTGGCCTTGAAAATGGGTTTATAAGCAGTTGTGGCATTTTGTTAAACCAGACTTTTTATGTAAGTATGTTATCTATTCTATCACAACATAAATTCTGAGAGCAAAGATTTCTCATTATCTATCAGAGTCAATAATCACTTGCTAAAAAAAAAAAAAGAAATGAATGCCTATGTAAAATTCACTGGATATATATTTAATATTTATATAATTTTTCTATCATAGACGAACAGTACAATTTTATAAATAAATTAAAGAAATAATGGCACGCCAAGAGCGCTAGCAAAAGGAGAGACGAGTATATTCTTCAGAGTTTCTAGAGTCTCCCCAGAGCTCAGAAGCAGTTTTGGTACCCAAACCTGTGTGTGCTGCTACCCACAGGGAAGACAAAGCCACAGACTCCAAATTTCTCTTTCTTTTGTCCTTCAAGCATTTAGTGGATTTTGTGATCAATTAACCTGCCAGGCCAAATCCTCTTTACTGCAGAAGCAGACATGCTGACCATCAAATCAGGGTGAGCCGCTTGCTGGAAAACCTGCAGGGCCACAAACTGGCTCCAGTATTACATACTACCTTGGGTGAGCAGTGTTCCTATTAGTGAATCAAATCCAAGTGTGATTACTGGAGCATCAGACGTAGGTAGCTATTCGCAACTACAAAACAAGGGTCAACTAGATCACGTTTGACAAAGGAAGCCCTCCAAAAGAACAAATTTACCAATAATGGGGCCCGTTTCTTCAAAGGCAGCTGCCTCGCTGTCAGCCTTCCTTAAAGGTTTATACAGAAACAGTGGAGCTTCTTGAAAACTTACCTTAGCCAAAGACAGAAAACAAAAGTCATCTCTTACCACTTTCCGCTAGAGCAGCAGCCACTTCGTTGAGAGTAGAGTAGATGTTGCAGGCGGCCCATCGGCACTGTGCCCCCAGGGCACCCAGAGTTTCCATGAGCACCTGTGTTACAGAATGGGCGGTAAACAAGCCCGCACTAAACAGGCTCCAGATTGACTTTACCTGCTTGTACCCAGGCAACTCTTGTTCCCCCTACTTCCACCTCTCAAGAGCTGCAGTGATGGGCTTGTGACACCACTCCTGGCTAAGTCCTATCTTTGACAATACACAATACATCAAGAGTAAGCCCCAGGCCAGTGGTTTTCAAGCTTTATAGAATGTCTTCAGTGTGGTCAACACCGGGCAGAGGAGTAGCTCCAGTAAGAGTCTATACCATTCCCAGTAAGATTTCATTAAAAAGTTCAGAGAAAAAGTATTTTTTATCAAAGCACAGACATACAGTTCTGCTCCTATTTAGGGCTAGGGATGCGGTTCAGTTGGCATAGTGTTGGCAGAAAGCCCTGGGTTTGCAGAAAGTTTCTGGATTCCCAGAAACTCTACCCAGGGTTCTGGTGTAGACTGGGTTTGTTTCATTTTAGGCAAAGCATGGGAGGAAACAGTAGCTGCATATGTAAAGGTAAGAAAAATTAGGTAATGCTGGGTGGTGGCCTTTAATTCAGCACTCACGAGGCAGAGGCAAGCGGATCTCTGTGAGTTCGAGGCCACCCTGGTCTACAAAGTGAGTACCAGGACAGCCAGGGCTGTTACACAGAGAAACCCTGACTTAAAAAAATAGTAACATTTTAATTAAAGGTTCAATGTAGGAAAAGTGTATAGTTTGGAATTTTGTGTTGCTCCAACTAGACACAAAATTTCATATCCACAGGCAAGCTCCTTTCCAGGAGTACCTGCCCAGTACTCACAAGAAAAGCTAGTCAGGGGGCTGGGTGCACTACACTAGTCTCTCAGGGGAAGCAAAAGTCTTAAGTAACAGAAGTTGAGCAATCATGTCTGCCAAGGAAGTCACACAAAGACCCACTGCACATGGGGAGGGGACAAAAGCAAAACCGGAAGGGTCACACAGACCATCCTGAGCCCACTGTGGGATGTACATTATAATCACTACTAATTCTAAAGATTTATTACGTCTCTCTTTCTCCACAAAAGACAAGAAAATATCTTCTGCCAGACCTACCAATCAATTAAAAGAAGAAAAACACGGCCGCAACAGAAAGCAGTAGGGACAGGAGGAAAGCCCTGCCCACAGAGGCCTGCTTAATACTGGCTGCATAGGAAGATTCAAGACTTGCCCTCACCGAGAAGGCTAGCCCAACACAAAGGAGCAGTCTAGGGCAGGCCCCTGAGAAGAGCCCTTCTGTGGCACACTAGCGCTCAAGCAGCTGAAAGCTGAGGATGAAGGAGAAAACACTGGGGAAAGCCCTTTAGTAACGTACAGTCAGCCCAAGTAACCTATAATCTTCAGCCCACTGCTGAAGAAATGTGCCGCCTATAGTGCACAAAACAGCTGAACTTCCAAGCAATCCATAACTCTACTGGAAACTAAGAAGCCATCCCTCAAAGATTCAAGATGTGAAAACAAAAGTTGGTCGTGTGTTTGCCTCGCATGCCTGATGCGCTGGGTTTGATCTTCAGCACTCCAGAAATCATGTGTGGTGGCACATATCCAAAATACCAGCACTCAAGACCAAGAGGCAGGAGAACTAGAAGTTCAAGATCATCCTTAGCTATGGTGAGTTCAAGGCAGCTTGGTTTCAAAAAGCAAAACAAAAACTACGATAAAACATAAATATAACAACTGTTTATGCTAATAAAAATATACACAACATTGACAAACAGGGAATTTTAGCAGAGACAGATGGAAACTATAAAAGCAGGTCAAGTACAAATGCCAGAAACAAAAAAAACACAACATAGTGAAAAACCATATACAGTACTGAGAATTCCTACAATAGTCTTCCCAGACTGGGCATTTTCAAGGACACAGTCAGCCAACTTAAAGACAGAATAGAAATTACATACTAAAACACAAAGAGAAAAGGAGAGCAGGAAAAACAAAGCAACACACACACACACACACACACACACACACACACACACGACATTATCAAATGACTTGATGCATGCATATCATCGAAATTCCCAAAAGTAAGGATAGAGAGAACAGGTCAAAAGAAATCCACTTAGAGTTAATGGACAATCATTCTCCAAAATTAATACAAGAGGATCCAGAAACAATATCTGAGTAGTGCCAAGATCCACTGACTAACTCCAAGGCTATGGACACACAAGAGTAGAACATCATGTACCAGAAGTAAGGAAGGAACTGCTCAAGGAGTGGAAGGGAAGAGCCAAAGACAAAGAAAGGCTGGGAGACAACTTAGTAAGTGCTAGCCTTGCAAGCATGAGGACCTGAGTTTTATCTCCAGAACCTTCAGGTCAAACAAAAACTAAACAAACAAACAAACAAACAAAAAAAACCCAAAGTAAACACAACAAAAAAGCTGAAGACAGAAGATCCTGAAGCTTGTTGACCAGCTAGCCTTGCCTACTTGGCACCAGGCTAGCGAAGAGACCCTATTTCAAAATACAAGGTGGATGGCTGCTAGGGAAAATGATGCCTGACATTCTCTGGCTTGCATGTACACATGCACGTGTGTGCACGCGCACGCACACACACACACACACACACACACACAAAGGGCAAAGATGACTGGACCCTCCCTCCCTTTCTCTTTCTTTTGGGAGGGGCAGTGTCTCATGTAATTCAGTGACCCAGGCTGGCCACAGCTAGCTCACTATGTAGTGGAGGATGACCCTGAACTTTTCCCCTTCTTGCCTCACTCTCCCTGGAGCTGGGAGTAGAGGTATGCTCCACTACGTCCAGGGACCAAACCCAGGGCTTTGTGTGCTTGGCAAGCGCTTTGCTAACTAAGACACATCGCTAGTTCCTTTTTTTCGAGACAGGGTCTCTCTGTGACTTTGGAACCTGTCCTGGAACTAGACCAGGCTGGTCTGGAACTCACAAGATCCTACTGCCTCGGCCTCCCGAGTGCTGGGATTAAAGGCGTGCGTGCCCCACCAACGCCTGGCTTAGTTCCAAGTCTTTATATTTCTATATTATATAGAGGTCACAATTGAATATTATAAAATTAACATGAACAGAGATTAAAAATAAAAGGAAGAAAAATACTCCTATAAGGATAAAGAAGAAAATATGTAGGGTAGAAATAATAAAATGATATAAACTTGGTAAACCAATAATGACTAATTCACCCAGGAAAAATAGAGAGGAAGGCCCAAAGGGTGGTGATTAGCTTGGGGTGAAAACAAACTCGATATAAAGAGAAGCACTTCCTATCTTAAGTCACCACACTGGATTCTGATGGGAGAGGCCCAGGAAGGGTTTCAAGCATGCTTCTGCCTCAATTCATTAATCTGTAGCTACAAAAAGAAGTTACTTTTTTAATTTATTGCATTAATTTTAGAAATTCAGGTGTCCTTTTCCTCAGAGAACATGTAACTCAGCAGTCTCAGAGGAACGCAGATGCTATCTGTTCCTAAGCAGCCGCTGCCTGCCCTTCATTAGCAAGGTGACCAAGTATGAGTCTGCTGAGGGAGGGACAACTCTAAAGGTGACTGAGGGACTGGCAGTATAGCTCAGTGACAGGAATATCTGTTGAGCCCGAAGAAAGCTCTGGCACCGAAAAACTAAGCAACTAACTAACCGGGGTAGAGCACTTGTCTGAGATCCCAGCACTCAGGAAGATGAGGCAGGAAGATCAGAGGTTTGACTGATACCAACTTCAGCTGCTACATAGCAAGTTCAAGGTTAGCCTGGGCTGCACCAGACTTTGTCTGAAAACAACAAAAGAGCTGGAGATAATGGTTCAGTGCAAGCATGGGGACCTGAATTCTGATCACCAACACCCGTGTAAAAAGCTGGGTGCCATGGAACGCTTCTGTAAGCCTGGTGATGAGGAAAAAGAGACAGGTGATCTTTGCAGCTGGCTGGCCTGCGAGTCTAGCCAATCAGTAAGCTGCAGGTTCAGTGGGAAACCCTTTTCTAAAAATAAGGTGTGATTGAAGACGATACCCACTGTCAACCTCTGGCCTCTACGAAGGAACACACACACACACACACACACACACACACACACACACACACACACCAGAACAAAGAGACGAAGAGAGCACACTGGCTAACTTTTTGTATGGTGGCGTCTACCCATAATTCCAGCATCTGGGAGGTTGAGACAGGAGGAGGATCATGAATTCAAGACCAGCCTCAGCTTCACAGCAAGTTTGAGGCCCACCTAGGCTGCGTGAGTCCCTGTCTCAGGAGAAGAAGGGAGGGAGAAGGAAGATGACCTAGAGCTTAGAAGTCCCATAAAAGGTGTTCCAGCTTTTATCAACACACCAATTTTCCTACTGATCTCAATGTATTTGGAACTCAATGCCAACTACATACTTTTATGATGACTCGAAAGAAGACTATAGAGTACTAAGGGAGCACTTCCATTTGTCTCAATGACTGTGGTGAGTGTTACTGTCCTTAGTGAACAGGGCCAGGGATCTGAACACTGAAGTTTAGGACAGCCATTTACAAAAAGACAAAACAAAACAACAACAACAACAACAAAAAACAAACTGCTGATCTAGTATAAAGTTCGATTGTCCCAATGAAAGTTTACATTGTGAAAACCCTACTTATAATTATTTGATCTTAGAAACTAATTCTGCCTTACATACTGACAAAAGTAGTTTCTATAGTTTTAATACAAATAATAATCTTTCTAGGACTTTAACAATTGTAAACTGTAAAGAGAATGGTGACTGTCATTGGTCAGAAGTTGGAAAAAGTTGCCTTTTATTTCATAAAATCCTAAAATCAGTTGAAGGAATTGCTCTAGGGCTCTGGACATAATCCCACATTGCCAGCAGGGCATGGTAATACATGCCTACAATCCAGCACTCGGGAGACAGAAGGGTCAGGAATTCAAAGCTAGCCTTAGCTATAACAGCAAGCTAGAGGCCAGTATAGGCTACATGAGATACTGTCTCAAAAAATAAAAAGAAAAGGAAAGCAGTGGAGAGCAGGGTTTGGCCCCAGCACCCTCAGACTGTAAGAGTGCCCTGTGCTCTCTTCCGGCCTCTGCAGGCACTGCACACACATAGTACACCTACATACATGCAGGCAAAACACTCACAGAAGACACCCCACATATATTTCCATCTGTATGTGTCAGTACAGATATCGACTATTCTGTCACAGTGATGCTTGCATTTACATATTGAAATATATTTTTATAATTTACTTTCTTTTTATTTCTCCCTATTTTAGTTCTCATTTTATAGTAAAAATTTAAAGATTACCTATAACATAGGTTATGGTGTATCTGAATTCTACCTCAGCATAGCTCAGGAGCACTGGAAGTATTTTTCTTATAGATGGAAGATAACTGTACTGAGTGTAGGAATTGGTCTAAGCCGATCTTGGGGATCCTAGTCCCCTTTTCAGAACTAGGGGAGCAGAGGCATGTGACCTGCACACACCCCACACATGGTACACATACATGGAGACCTGCACACACCCCACATGGTACACCTACATGGAGACCTGAACACACATCACACATGGTACACATACATGGAGACCTGAACACACATCACACATGGTACACATACATGGAGACCTGCACACACATCACACATGGTACACATACATGGAGACCTGAACACACACCCCACACATGGTACACATACATGGAGGCCTGCACACACATCACACATGGTACACCTACATGGAAGCCTGCACACACCCCACACATGGTACACATACATGGAAGCCTGCACACACCTCACACATGGTACACATACATGGAGACCTGCACACACCCCACACATGGTACACCTACATGGAAGCCTGCACACACCCCACACATGGTACACATACATGGAAGCCTGCACACACCTCACACATGCATGCTACATCAGCATCTTCTCCTCGGGGTGACATGCTGGACTATTCTGCTGGACCTCAGCAAGGGTTTTCTTGCTCTTAGGAGAGCAGAAGAAACAGTCCTTCTCCTATCAGTTCATGGTGACGAGGTGGTACCTAGTATCTACTACCTTTCTATCAGCTCGAGGATGAAGTAGGCAAGCTGTGGAGACAGCTCCAAAAGAGTCACAAAGAGATGAAAGGGAGCCTTGTGTCCACAGCTCGTCTTCCAGATGGACTCTTGGCCACACCATGTAATGAATTCCTCGAGGCTGAGACCAGGTGAATCAGTTTCCTCTTATTTGCTGCTGAAGGCAGCTCCATATGGAAGGCTGAGTCAGAGAGAGGACACTGGAAAGGGTGACGGAGAAGATGCATAGTGGAGCAGCAGAAGCCTTCACTTGCTCACCAAGCACACCCGTGTTCAAGCCTGAGCCTGGCTTCCCAAGCTGTATAACCCTGGACACATTTCTAAAGTACACTGGGCCTCAGCTTCTTTTTTTTTATTAAATGAAAAAAGGACTGCCTGCCTACATGCTATCACATGGTGGTATCACATGGGTTAATGAAATAACACGTCAGCCTGGTGCCGGCAGATGGCACTCATTCAGTGGCTGGTACAATTACTAACTGTCATTGGGAGGAAAAGGACTCACAGCAGTCTGCGCAGTGATGTGCGTACAACCCACAATTTTGGCTCCAGCCAAAGGCTTTTCTCCTTGGGCTCTCTTCCTTAAGGCCATCAGGGCAGGCATCTCTGGAAAGGCCCAATACAAACACGGAGTATTAAACAGAGAGAATGAGAGATAAGAGACTAAACAGAAAAATTACTCATTTAAGTTGTGACTATTCCCTTGACCAGCTTCTGTTAGATGAGGTTCCTGAATGTTCTCTGAGAGGCTTTCAGAGACAAATGTTCCCCAGTTTTATTCTCCATCTGCCAATCCTTCTTACCCAGGGCTTTCCTCTAAACTCTCAGAGTTCACTCCCTCCCTCCCTCCCTCCCCACAGTGTTCTCCAAAACTTAAGATTCTCTACAACATTCTTCAGGAGGTGGACGTGCCGACTCATACCCGTAAATCCCGGCACTTGGGAGGTTGAGGCAGAGATTTGCCTCAAATTCAAGGTCAGCCTAAGTTTCAGAGTTGAGACCTTGTCTCAGATTAATAAACAAAAAAAAATATGGTTTAAGACTGCACTGAAATTTGACATGTCAGCTGACCCGGGATGTGTTAATATGACAAAATGACACAGGCAACTACAAAGGCATTTATTTCTTTACCTTGTTCAGCAATTTCGATCTCCCTGCGTCCAAACTCTGCCTGTTTGATGTTCTTGACACAGAAGTCACTGCTTCCTTTTGAGTTCTTTTGCTGCTTGTCCCGGGGGGAAGTCTCATCATCAGAGCTATCTGTGTATGAAGCAGCTGGAACACAAATTTAAAAAAAAAAAAAAATCAATCAGGGAAAAGGTTAGCTTCCTTCAAAACCCCAGACCATTGGGCTGCACTAGTCATTAGCACCACACAAAATAACACCTGTAGGAAGCTCCTTAATGAAACATGGAGCTGTGCCACTCATGACCTATGCAAGGTGAGCTGCAAAAGGCATTCTCCCTGGGAAGCATTCATTTGGAATCTAGTGCTAACTTATCCTTTTGAACACAGAGAGGTGTAATACTTGAATATGCAAAGAAAGGGAAGTTGCCTGGAAAGCCACAGGTTAAAGTTCCTAAGCAAGCCAGTCATTAACCCACAGGTTTCTAGCCTCATAACACCCCTCTGCCTGCTGCTTAAATGCCTGAAGTAATTTGCTTTGTAGTGCAATAACTGCACAGATAAGACCTAAAATACAAGGAACTCATGGGAAAGTAATTAAGAACCACACAGAAGGAATTTGTCTGACCGAACAGAGCTGTGTTTCTCGGGACTGCCTCTGACGAGGCAGAACTATTCTTGCAGATCCAAGTAGACACTGATAATTCAATGTATCATCCTCCTTGACTAGCCTCTGTAAGGAGTCCTTGGTGTTTCAGATTCCCAAAGCAGCTAAGAAATATCCTCTTTTGGTACATCTAATGCCCTGCAGATGAATCCACTAGCAACACACCCTGTATATAGCATGAGTGGTTCCCAACCTTCCTAATGCCAGATACAGTCAGATACAGATACAGCATGCTACTTCATAACTGTACTTTCACTATGCTTATGCATTGGAATGTAACTGTCTGTGTTTTCCAATGGTCTTAGGAGACCCCTGTGAAAGAGCCCTTTAACCCACTAAAGGGCCACAACCCATAGGTTGGGAACCACTGTACTAGAGGGTAAAAGGGCCACACTTGATTGTGGTCAACAGGCAGTTACTGCTACTGAATCCACAGCCTTAGTGGCAATCTTTCTAGTCTTTATATTTGCTAATCATTTGCTAGGTGGTCTTAGGCAATTTCTGTCTCAATTTTTGTAAAATAGTGGTTCTTCCGAATCCTTGTAGTTTGGGGGAGGATGGAGGACATAAAACACCATCTATAGAGAGAGAGAATTTATAACTGTCTGTGCAGTTAGCACTGCCATCCCATCTAGGGGGAGAAAGCTCACACACTCAGAGCTCCTGTGGGCCTGGTGGTCTGATCTACTTAGATCCAGAGCATTAGGGCATTTCTGGGATTTCTTAGCAGAGGGTCTATCTGGGTGGGGGTTGGAGGGCGGACTGTAAAAGGCAAGTCCGACCTTGCCCAGTTAATCAGGCACAATGCTGCATACTGTGGGGTCAGCAGGGGCTAGAGGATCTCTCTTTCTCTGGAAAGCTGCCTTAGAGCAAAGTCCTAACAGGAGGGCACAGGAATGAACATGAACACCAGGGGTGGCGTGGGGGTGAAGGGATTAGTAAAGCCCAAAAGGACTTTTGTTCTTACAAGGAACTAATCTGCACAAAACTTTTTGGTTCCTCTCCTAGGGTAAGAGAGCTCAAAGTACTTTTGGCAACAGAGCTAGAAATAGCTTTCTGGGCACCCACCGTCTGTTTCAACAGTCAGTATTCGATGTGGCTTAGAATTCCAGGCTTAAGAGACCATGCTTCGCCTACCTGAGAGAAAACGATAACCTTCCCCAATCCTGATCCAGATTTACAAGGAAACTGAATTTGAAAAAGGAATTTACATTATTTTGAAGTTTCAAATCTTTTTTCCAGAATCATGATGATTTTTGTCTTTAGTGGCAAACAGTAATTGGCAATACCAGACTGCACTCAGGAGACAGAGGCAGGAAGATCAGGAGTTCAAGGCACCCCCACAGGCTCATCCTTCACTTAATGACCACTGACCATTTTTCTTATGAGAAAAATGAGATACCATCCAAAATGTTTCAATTTTTAAGCAGAAAAGATTGTTACCTAAAAAAGTATAATATAATTTTACTATGGGGTGTCTTGTTTCATTTTCAAGAACCAAAGCAGAACTTGATGAATCACTAACCCACAACTGAGTCCACTGCACATATGAACACATGTTCATTGGCCCACGCCTGATTTACCTTTATCTCCCTGCTCCTGTGAGGCTGTTAGGAGGCAAGCAGTTAGAATTCGGGTTGAATTAGGCTTATTAAATTAATTAAAGTCAGGCAGTTCCCCTTGGGCCCAATCTATTTGTTTGTTAATGGAAATAACAGTAGGGACCTGTGTTTCAATGGGTTGTACTGATGAATGACTTGAGAAATACATTATGTTAGCAACCCAACACAAACGACATTTTATAATTTGGAAAAAAAAAAAAACCTTAAAATCTCTCAAAATTTGTAAATGCTAATTATAAGTACAGCACTTCGTTCTTTCTCATCTGTAACCAATTCACTTATCATAAAGATAACATTTTCGTAAATGTATCTATCACTGAGAATGATCTAAATCTGAAGAAAAGGTTATTCTTTTCATCTGCTCTTATGATTTAAAAAAATTTTTTTTTTGTTTAGGTTTTTGTATTTTAAAGTGCCACGAAGAGGCAAAGACGTACAGATCTCTGTAAGTTTGAGGCCAGCCTTATTTACATAGGAAGTTCTAGCACAGCCAGCACATGTGGAGAGACTGCCTTGACAAAAAGTAATAAAAAGTACTGAGTTTATGAAAATAATACTTCTTTGAGATTAGGCCAGGAAATATCATGAATACTACTTGCATAGGCAATATTTCTGAAAACATGATCTAGAATGTATCCAGATGAGCATAATGGGTTAGTAGAATATCAAAAAAAGATAGAGAATAAAAATGGTGAATTTTATTTCTAAGTAAAATATTTAAATACTAGAGATAATGTAAGGGCTTGTGCTTGTTGGGAAATAAATAACTAGATAAGCCAGGTGACTCTGTCATTTAAATGCTCTCTGTGAGGCCAGATGGACATTTGCCAGGGATGCCACATTCACATAAGATGACAATTCTAGCACCCACCAGATCATATTTCTACTTTTGTCTCTAAAACTAGGGTGTTATCCTCCAATGGATATATTAGGCTGACAACTTTTTTGTTTTGTTTTGTTTTGTTTTTGCTTTGCAAGACAGGGTGTGTAACAGCCCTAGTTGTCCTGGAACTCGATCTGTAAACCAGGCTTGCCTTGAACTCACAGAGATTCACTTGCCTCTGCCTCCAAGTGCTGGGATTAAAGGTGCTCACCACCACGGCCCAGCAAAAATTTTTGATGTGTAAATTGGTCACTTTCCCCAGCATGAGTCTGCTAGGTACATACTGGTGCTGCTGGGAGACCCCCTCCTTGTGCAGTACTCTCATTGTGGACTGACATTGTGGACTGACATTAGGGTAAGTGTAGGTTGGGTCGCAGAGGCTATCTCTGGATGATCTTTCCTCAGTTTACTGGCATCCTCACAACAAATATTAGCATCAACTATGATCCAAATACTGTTTGTTTGATGTGCTAGAGACACACTTGTGGTAGAGACAGGTAAGGCTTTTATGCTCATGGAATGCATATTTGTATTTGTGCACGCACATATAGGGGCATAAAACAAGTGCATATGATAATCTTAAAAAATAAGTAAAGATGGTGTTTTAGGGTTATATTGCTGTGACGAAACGCCATGACCAAAAGCAAGTCAGAGGGGAAAGGGTTTATTTGCTTACTCTTCCACATTGCTGTTCATCATCAAAGGAGGTCAGGGCAGGAACTCAAACAGGGCAGGATCCTGGAGCCAGGAGCTGAGGCAGAGGCAGAAAAGGGTGCTCTGCTTTCTGGCTTGCTCGTTAATGTTTGCTCAGCCTACTTTCTTATGCACAACTCAAAATGGGCTGGGCCCCCTACCCTCAATCACTAATTAAGAGTGATTGGCCTTGGATAGATGGAAGACACTGATTGGCCTTGGATAGACGGAAGACCTGTTGCAGAGACCAATTAACCTTGACAGCGGGTTATGGCAGCTTAGCAACTCACCTGAGCTATAGCTGTCAGTAGATGACTGAGAGATGGAACGAGACAGAGACCGACGTCCAATTTTGGTAGGACGCTTGTTGAATTCCTGCTTCTGGTCAGCAAACTGGATCTGCTAAGAAAAAGAACCCTCATTATAGAAAGGAAAAGTACTTTAGTTATACAGCTTAGTCACTGTTCTATTGCTGTGAAGAGACACCATGACCAAGGCAACTCTTATAAGAGGCTAGCTTTCATTTTTGGAGGGTTCATTCATTATCATGTCGAGGAGCATAGCAGCATGTAGGCAGACAGTAGAGTAGTAGCTAAGAGCAACATTCTGATCCATAGGCAGAGAGGAAGAAAGAACTGGGCCTAGCATGGGATTTTGAAATCTGAAAGCCAACCCACAGTGATGTACTTCCTCCAACAAGGTCACACCCCCTAACCCTCAAATAGTGCCAACTCCCAGATGACGAAGCATTCAAATATATGATGAGCCTTTGGGGGGCATTCTCATTCAAACCAAAATAGAGAAAACACCTTCAGTGTCACCTTCAGTGCAGTTTATTTGCTTAAACAAACCTATATTTGGAATAGAGACTCTTGGGGGCTGGGAATGCAGCTCAGTTGGCAGCATGCTTTCCTTGAATGCACCAGGACCTTGGTACAGTCTCCAGCACCACATGAGCTGCGAATGCCAAAGCAGTAGTGGCACACCCCTGTGATTCCGGGAAGCAGGAGAATCAGAAGTTCAAAGTCATGTTCAAACTACCTGGGAGTTTGAGCCAAGACCTTGTCCCCTCCTTCCTCTCAAAAAGGTTGAGAGTATACAGCTCAAGTACAGAGTGCGTTCTTACCATGCAAAGGCCTGGAATGGATCCCTAACACTGGAGAGGGTGGGTGGAGTGGGAGGGACTTCTCTAGATCTGAGTATGGTAGTATACTCAGCACACAGGAGGCCAAGGCAGAAGGAATACAATGAGTTCAAAGCTAGCCCGGGGTACACAGTGAAAACCCTTGTCTCCAAAGGCAATAAAACAAAGAAGAATAACTTTTCATTCTTCACCAATTTCTATCAAATTCAAGTCTTCGATGTAATGACTATATACTTAGTACATTATAACTGTGACACGAGAGGAGCAGTATTATGATTAAATTAAATTTGGGAGAAGGTAAGTCATATTCAGAAACATTTTCTATTGTTTCACTGAAAATGCAAAGCTGGGAAAAAAAAAAAAACCTTTGGAATTCTCTGTATGCCCACATACCTAGATGAGAAAACAGCAAGGTATAAAAAGAGAGACAGACTTGCCTGGAGCTTTAAGCTTCTCGGAGCAATATGCTAATTTTTTAAACAGGTTTTTCACGAATGAGCTGTGTCATTCATAAACTTTGTGATGTTGGTCAAGACGATTTTGTGAGCTTCATTTTCCCATAAATACAACAGCAGTAAAGTACTCCATTCTAGGTTTTGGAGAAGTTTACATGAGACAGTGAATGGTCTGTGAAACACGGCAGATTTAAAAGGTCATTAACTCCTCCTCCCCTACAGCAGGTAACCATTTTAATTTGCTAAAGATTTTCAAAGATGTTAGCTCTTTAGATACAGTAAATAAGCTAATTTTTAATGTCTAGTGTCACGAAATACTTTGGAAGCCATACGCTTGTTTATTATCAATGACTACAGATGTGGGAAGAGTAGATGATTGGACTGATTATATACTCAAATCATACTCTGTAGGTTATATTTGAAAAATATCTGATGATGGCGGATGGCCTTCTGTATATATGTTTCTCTTATTGGTTGATGAATAAAACACTGGCCAATAGAGGCAGGAAGATAGGCAGGACTAGGAGATGAGGAGAATTCTGGGAAAGGTAGGCAGAGAGAGAGAGAGACGGCACCAGGCCATGTAGAAATATGTAGATAAGTAGTTATGGGTTAATAATTAAGACAGAGCTAGCCAATAAGAAGCCCTAGCCATCAGCCAACAGTTTATACATTAATATATGTCTCTGTGTGCTTATTTGAGGAGAAGGGCAGAGGGATCTGGAGGGACAAGAAACTCCAGTAACATATCTGATAGTTAATTTTACTTAGTATTAATTCTTGTTAATTTTACTTATTTCTCCAACAGTTGGCAGTGCTGCTGGTGCTTTATTAATCAAAGCTCCTATCACTTACTTTATTAATAAGCTTTTCCTAGCCGAACATTTATACAGTTGCTTATATGATTCTTCTGGATCCAAGGTGGCATAGAGGAAAGTTTACAGAAAAGAATCAAAGACCTGACAACTGATTCTAACTTTTAGAATAAACTTTTACGGCCAGAAATCAGAAGGAAATCAGTGGCTGCAGTTCCTGCACTTAGAGGTAACTCTTGAGTCACCGAGCACTGGACAAGGGGCTAATGTCAAAATGAAAGCTTAGCACTCACTGCCTCTGAGGAAATGTATAGCATTTCCACAACTATAACAAAAAATAACTAAATCCTGCACAATGGTTCAGAGTCTGCAAATTGCTTTCACTGTAATAGGGCTATTCATTGGGATAGGAGCTCACTGAAAAATGGAAAGTGGCAAGTTTGATTATTTTGCTGAAGTACCAATTCATTCCAAAAAGGATAAAGTGCCCTTTCTATGCACTCCAGCAGGAAGTCCATGAATCTTTACGTACTTCTAGCTCAGCATTCATCACCTTGCTTTCCGACCTGTATTCTGTAAGGCTATGAACTACAGGCTCCATATGGGCTGATTTCTAGTCGCCCTTATTTATATTCTCAGGCACAGAGAGATAGATAACTGCTGTATCCTATGCACCCAGTCACATGCTGAACCAAGGGGCCTGGGGGAGCCTATTCTACCTTCATTGCCTGTATTTGAGGGAAGGTTAGTAGTCACAGTAAGCATGAATTCTGCATAGAGTAATTTTAAGGGTTAAAAAAACTGGCAAGGGAAAGGTGGGGGAAGGTGCACAGAAGTCAGGGCCAATGCTGGCACTCAGTTCATCAACCCGGTAGGGGTAATCACAGGCCTTCGCTCTTTTTCAGAGGCCCATCAAGAAAAGGAATGCATGTTTTTCCAAAGACCACAACAAGGCAGTGTGTTCAGCAGTGCCCCCCTTATTAAAAAAAAAAAGCCTAAAATATAACTCTCGCCTCAGATTTGCAACACACCCCCCCATGCCAACCACACACGCTGACGTAACAGCTGCATGTGTGTGCACACAGACACACACGAGTACATATCTACCACTAGAGGAGGCCAGTCGCTTCCTCTCAGTTACCCCTACTTAGCGCAGTAACATTAAGTCACTCAGAAACCCAGCTGCTCTGTCACTTCAAGTGTGTCTTGAGGCTGAGCTCCGTGTCCTACAGCCTTTCAGTTGTGGTAATGCCGTCACCAACTTCGGCTCTTTGGGTTCTAAGGAAATAGGCTGGTCACAGAAAACCGGTCTTGCTAATTTCTCAGTAAATTCAATGCCCCCTCCCAGGTTATTGATATAGAAGAACATTAGGGAGAAACCATTTAATCTAGTGAGTCATGCGATTCTCCAATAAATGTTTCCTTTTCACTGATAACCAAAACATGAGTTAAATGCGGCATCTCTGGTGACCTCATCAGTGCCAGCCCACCCCATCCCACCCCAGTCTGTAAAGCAACGACATGCCCGGCCAGTTAAGGCGCCTTGGCAGAATCTACCAAGATTTACCTGACTTTCCTACCTCGTCAGAAACCAGAGTCCTTGCAGGCACTGCTCCTCTCACACCTCAGCACTGCCTAACACCAAGTCAGGAGAGGAAAAGAAGCCGGCAGGAATGGGTAGCTCACCACAAGCCCGCCAGAGGGAAGGATGAAGGCTGGACAGGAGGGGAAGGGGAGTATAAGCAGCTTGCCTTGGACAGTAACGGCCGCCGCCGCCGCAGCAAGACTGGCAAACGGGCGCTTAGCCTCACCTGGGCTTTAATCCCAGAGTTGCTATTAACAATGTATTTCTTCTTGCTGCTCAGCATAGTGACGCTACCAGCCAGCAGACTGTGACATTACCGGCACTAGGCCACCTCTTTGGTCCAAGGACCCTTGTGGTCAAGGTTTTAAACTTTCCTCATCAGCAATTCTGTTGGCTCCGGTCCCAGCTTGCCACTATATTTTTTTCCCTCTTTTGAGGGGGGTGGCTATTTCTGAAGCAGCTCCAACAACCCTTTCGGCCGTAGAGCGGGGTTTAATAAGGCAGTTCTGCTATTGGCCCATCAGCCATTCCTAATTCTGGATGTTTTCCTTTATTACTATTTTTCCTTACACATCATTACACAGCTCCTTTGACCTCTAAACCTTAACAAGTCCCTAGACAAGGCCCAACATACATGCATACATCAATGGCTTATTTATATAACCCATGCACTTTTTCCTGTTATAATTAACTTGCTAATTAGGTTCCCTTTCAACTTTACCTCCTCCTTTTCTATGTCAGATGATTTTAGTTAGCCTCATCTCATTAGAAGAAAATTAACTATAGAGTCACTGAAACAATGAGGGAATTTATAAAGAAAAAAAAAAACCATTAATGATACTAAGTGGTCAGGCAATCCCGTTCTATATATACTCTGCCCTTGGGTTAGCCAGGCAGGGGACACTAGATCCAGCTCTGTCACCAAGGAAATCAATTTTCTCATTTTATTTATTTATTTACTCTCGATTCTTTCCTTAATACTTATTTGCTTATTTATTTAGACACAGAGTCTCACAATGCATACTGGCCCTGGAACTTGAGGATCATCCTGCCTCAGCCTTTCAAAGACAACAAACACCATGCCTGAGTTTGCATACTTTCTATACAGATTTTTTTTACATTCAGTACCTAGTTTTATCTCAACAACACTGATGCTTATTTAGTATTGAGTGATCCATTCACTTTTTTATTATTAAAAAAAAAAAGCATATTTGGGGGCTAGGGAGATGGCTCAGTGGATCAGACACCCTTGTTTTGCAAGCATGGGACCTGAGTTGGAATGCTCAGTACCAATGTAAAGTGCTGGACATGGCTGCATGTACTCATTACCCTAGTGTGGAGACGTCGGACCCTGGGGCTCACAGGCCAGCCAGCCTATGGAAATGGTGAACTTCCAAGCTTCT